TATATATATATATATTGTCGGCAAATGTCTTGTCTCTGACAATCTTAAAATAAGTTAAAATAAGAAGGAAGAGTTTAAATTGTATTTGGCAATTTTAAAAAATGTTGAAATAAGTAGGAAATTTAATGACTATTAAAATTCTTAATTAACAAAAGAAGGAAAGCTAAATGTTAACTTTCAAACGGAAATAAAAACTAATCATTAAAGTATGCTATGCAATTCATAGTTATAAAAGCAAATTAACAAAGGATAACTAACAAAAAAATAAGCTAATAATTAATAATTAGCAAAAAACTAGTTAACAAGAAATCACAAAAAATAACAATGTAAAAAAACTAACAGTTAATAACTATACAAAACAAGCTAACAATTAATAACTAGCAAAAAAAAATAATTGTTACTAGCTAATAAAAAATTAGTCGAAAGAAATAATTAATCCCTTAATAAAGGTGCTTTTGTAGTACATATTATTTTATTTTACATTCAAAATTATTATCACAGACTATTTAACACAGTGTATTATAGGTAAGTAAACAAGTTTTAAACTAATTTTTTTCCTTGTGTGCCGTCAAATTTCGAAATTGTTAAAAGTGGGCCGCCACAGAAAAAAGGGTTGAGAATCACTGCTCTATACAAATATATATATATATTTACCTTGTTGTTACTATTCAAGAGAGTAAGGACATCTCCTTTTTTCATTGATACTTCTCTTGGACTTTTTTCAATGTAATCATACAAGGCCATCACAAATTCTTTACCGGCATGATCTACTACAGGGCGCTCTTGTTGCTGAAAACAAAAATCAAGATGTCACAACTCTAGAAAAAATAAATCTTAAACGATCTTCACCATAAAGAATAAGTTAACAGCTTTATTTGGATAACATATATAATAATGTTTAGATAATGTAATATATTAATGTATAATGTTTATAACAACGTAAGAAAAAGTAGTCACAATTTGAAGGAAAAGAAAAAGGTGTCCAAAATCCTTAACGTTAATTTTGCTTTTGCATGTTTTACTGTATCCCTGTAACTATTTTAGCAAACCAAAAATTTTCAACATAGAATTATTAAACTAGTTAATTCAAAGATATTTCCATGCAAAAATTATTTATAATGGCTTAAAAGAAAAAAAAGTTAACTTACATTAAAAAGCTTTTGAATTATAAGGTATTTGAAACTAGGTAATTTCAAATGACAAAATACCAACGTTTCAAAATTTAGTTATTCACAAACTACTTGAATGAGTTTATTCAAATTTTGTATTCTGCCATTTTAAATTCCGCAGTTTAATAATATTTGAAAATTTGCATACCTTGCAACTCAAAAGTTTTTCAGAAACCTATAAAATCTGTGTTTTGACAAACATAAAAAAATTTTTTTTTTGTATGGAATTATCTTTGGATAAAAAAAGTTTTTAAAACCTTTAAGTTTCTGAATAAAAATAAATTCTCCAAAACATGGTAAAATACGAAAAAGTGAAATTAACATGAAGGAGACCATAATTTCAATTGCTCTCCTTACTAAACGATTGTGACTATAATTTCTGAATTGTAAATCTAAATGTTGAGAATTATAAATTGAAACACATCTGAAAAAAGAATTTTTTATTCAAAGAGAGTACGTTAATGTATCTTGTTTAGTAATTTTTAGTTTGTCCACAAATAATTAGCATCTTTTAAGTCAACCCCTTGAAGGAGTATGTGTGCATGTTAGAATAAGAAAATAAATTCATTAGATCAAAAGTGTTAAGCACTTTGCACACTGTAAATAATTATCTACTTTCAGTTTTCACAGATGAACTAAACAAATGTCTTTATATCTAATAATAAAAAGTAACTTTATTCATTAATTTTCCATTTTCGGGTATGCAATATATACAAGGTGATCTCTCATTCTGAAAGGAAGAGATATATCAGATCTTGTTTCATAAATTTTTTTTTTGTTGATAAAATTACAAAGAATACAACTGTGCAATTAGTATTTTGTAAAAAGATTATTTAGTTTAGTGTTCTGTGTTGGTCTGTTAGTAAATTTTTCAAAATTACTTTCTTTGCACAATTTACAACACTGAAAGAATTACTTTTCAGTATGAAGCAAATCAGTTCTTTAGAGTTAAACAAAAATAAAGGCATATTTTTTTAAAGAAAAAATCTTAAATCTAAATAATCTAAAATAAAAATAGGGTGTTTAATTATCTACCTAAAATAGTATATTTTCATTGCTTTAAATTTAAACTCTAATAAATAAAAATTCCAATAATATTCTAATAATTTAAAATTCCACTCTAATAATGTAAATTTTTTGCTTTCCTCTTTTTATCTAAAGATATGCTGATACAATCATCAAACGTTTGTTAAAAAGGATAATAAAAAAAAATTAAAAAAAAGAGTTAGAGAGAGAGAGAATGAAGATTAAAGAATATAATAATTATCAAAAACAAAATCTGAGAGAACAAGGGAATAGAACTCTTAAAATTCAAATTATATCAGTAAGACACACATCAAATTTGGTTACTTACTCGGCAAGAATGAGCCTGCTCTTTCAGTGACAGTATAGTATTTCCAAAAGCTTCCAAATCAGCCATCAAAGCTTCATGTTTTTTCAGCAAAGACTACAAATAAAGAGCAAAATTATAGGTATAGATAGAGATCAGGTAGTTTTTTTGTCCGAGACATTACAATATGTTTAATACTTCAGTGGAATCTTCATCCTTTCCAAAATCTTGACTTCCGACAATAGGCTCTTTCTCTTTCATCCAGGACTCGGCCTCATTTGCATCAGCAAAGTACTGGTGAGCTTGAAGAGAATCCTCTAAATCCTGCTTTCTTTGCAAAGCTTTATCCTACGCAGAAAAAGTCATAATTGTAAATAAAATTTGGGTTGATAAGTTTAATTTGTTATCGGAAAAAATTTAAGGCCAGAGCTTGGTTTTTGTATTAACTCAAGTAAGGCTTGACTCAGTCCATTTTTAAATATTGCCTGATTTAAACATGGATAGTTAGAACATGAAAATTTTGCTATTATAGTCAAACCCTGATATAGTGAACTCCCGGATATAGTGAACAAAATGCTTGGTCCCGTGCCTTGCTATACTCATATAATGTTATTTTTAGTGGATATAATGAACCAAAAAAGTGAGGAAGTTGGATATAATGAACTTTTTTCTATCTTCGACTGATTCCCCCCTCCCCATTTTCTTGTAATAATTTTGAAATTTGTACTTCAAAATAAATACATATACCGATTTTTAAAACCATCTATAGAAACTACTTTTATGTTCTCGAATGGCAGGTTAGACAGGTTTAAAAATCGGAATAACAGAAAATCAGGAAAAATTATCTGAGAGTCGGGAAGTGTTTCCATATCTGATGTTGAGGATTAATCATCAGCTAAAGATTACTAATTTTTATTTGTGCGCAAGACGTAGAGTGATGAAAAATAACACATTTTTTGCTACTACGTAATATTTTTCAGTCATTTATATGAATATAATGTAATAAAAGGGAGGAGTTTTGGAACCATTAGTGAAATTGCCTGAGCAACGGATATAGTGAACTCCCGGTTATAGTGAACCGAAATTTCGGTCCCTTGAAGGTTCACTATTTGACTGTATTAGTTTTGTTTAAGTCATTGCACGGAGATGATTTTGAAAACTTTCTTATTTATAGTTCAAAATATGCTCTTGCCGCTAAAGCCTTTAGCATTGAGTCTCTAAGTTCTCGACACTTAAATTGAATTGTTACATGAATAGCAATGCTAAACATGTTTGTGTACATTTCTATACACGCACACACATAAAAAAAAATAATTAGACACTAAGAGACAAAGAAAATGATGGATAATACATTAACGAAAGCGTGTGGTACTTCATTTGGTTTTAAATTATGCGCAAAGTTTTAGAATCGTCTAATAACTAAAATTTAGTAAATTAAAAAAAAATTAAATAGATTTAATCACAAGAATGTTTATTCAGAAGAAAAAGGTAATTGGCCTTGCTGTGTTTGGGTTCTATAATAAGGACTGTTACCAAATTCTTATCCAAGCCCAGGTGGGAAAATTATAATTCTAACCACTGCAATTATGCTTTTAAAAAAAGAGGGTAGATAATGCTTTTTTGTTATTGAACAATTTGTAAATTGCTTTTAAGATCTAGAGACAAAATCTGTCTAAAATGTCCATAGAAAAATACAAAGCTGCCAAAAAAAATCTATATAATTTTCCTTTTTAAGTAAACTAAATTAGATTAGTGTATAATCATGAGCAGATAAGAACATGTCTTAAAATAAAAACAATGATGAATAAATACCTTCAAAGCTTGCCATTTTTCATTCAATCCACTCAATCGTTTTTGTATGTCGTTCGATGCGAAATGACCTAAAAGGAAAACATTGATAGTAAATAAAATTTTATACATTAAACTGAATATATTTAAAAATATTTGAAAATAACAGAAGGATTTTTCATTTATTTGTTAAATCTAACTTTGAAATTGACAAAAAAAAATTTGTTTAAATACCTTCTTGCACCATTTCATCCCCACATTGGCACACAGAGCGTACTCTGTTTTCATGATTATTGATTTCTGCTAACATGGCTTGATGTTTCTTAATCAAATTTTGAACACCAATCAGATCTCTACCTGTAATAATAATTTGATTATGTGATGACTTCAAATATATTGCAGCATACTTCTGGAAAAAAACTGGGTATCAATTGCAAACATAAACAAAATTGAAGAATTTTTAGATATATTACAGAAAACAATTAAAAATAATTTTATATTAATATTAACAATTAAATTTAAACAAAATAGAATAAGGTAATTTTCGACACATTTGAACCAATAATTGTATTTTCTAAATTTCTACCCTTGGGAGTTCGTTGAAAATGTTCAGTGTAAGAAGAGCTTAAATTTAAAAAAAAAAAAAACATAAATAAATAAATAAAAGAGTGGGCTTAAAGGGTTGAATCAAAACAGTTAGGGTTGAATCAAAACAGTTAAATACTACTTAAACTTAGATTCATATTAAGGATGCTGGTCAATATAATTTTTAAAGTTTACTTTTTTCAAAATCAAAATATTCTCAATTTTTCTGGTCATACGGACGGATAGCTACATTTTCTTAATTTCTACCCTTGTAAGTATATTGAAAATTTTCAGTGCAAAAAGATTTCAGAGCTTAAAATTTNGCTTAATTTAAAAAAAAAAAAAAAAAAGGAAGAAAGTTTACTTTTTTCAAAATCAAACATTTTCTCAAAATCTATACATAAATGTGATCGTTGATTTCTTGAAACTTCTGTACCTTGGATTTCTGGAGCACAATCATCTCTGTCCAACCCATTCTATTGTAGCGCCCTAGAGGCATTTTTTTAAAAAAGAGCTTTTAAATCCAGGAGAGTAATGTACATTGTGTGAATTAGGACACTCCAATAATTTGCAAGTATTAAGAGCAACTTTAAAAAGGTAGAAACCATACCTCGATTAGTAGAAGCAGCAATAGGTTCCTTTTCTCGAATCCAAGCCTCCTCATCCTCAATATCTCTGTACAACTGCTGCACTCTCAGAGAGTCTTGAAGTCTCTGGCGTCTAGTGGTGATGGGCTTTTGCAAAGCATTATAGCGCTCAACTAGCGCCACCTGTTTATTCTGAATTGAAACTGCATCAAAATGACCACGTTCAACAAAATTTGTGGCCTGGATGATAACTCCATCAATGCGATCCTAAAACCAATTCAACCGATTTATACATCAAGATTGTTTCTTTGAAAAAAATTTAAGAAACTAGTACTCATCTAGTTTCTTCATCCATTTGGTAAATTTTTTAATCAAATTGATGAAGAGGGAAAAAATTACCTGATGTGAGGCAATATCTGCTTCCAATAAAGCATGCTTCTTTATCAAGTTTTGTACGCTTGTTAAATCCTGCAAAAAGATATTTATAATGTTAATAATTCAAAAAAACTGTTACATTAAGCAACACTGATTATCACAAGACAAGATTGTTGATATTGTTTCTCCAAAATTTTAAAGACCTAGTTGTGTTTAATGAAATTAAAGTTAAAATAATCAGTTCTACTTTAATAATATCAACTTCTTAGGACCAAAAATTATTTGAATTTTTAAAATGTGTAGAATCATCCTCCAAAGATGACATGACTAAAAAATAACTACCTTTTCATAAAGTCTGCTTTAAATATTATTTTAAAAATTAAAAAAAAAGAGACAGAGAGAGAAAGAAAGAAAGAAAAGAGGTGGTTTCTTGCAACCATGATTTAGTGATTTTTTTAAGTTCATTGATCAATTTTCTATTTATTTGCAAGTGTGTGATATTGAAACATTAAAGTTGGGGAAAGTTATTCTTCACTTACATCAACCAAAGGCAGGGTGCGTAGCCAAATCTTTCAACAAAAAAAAAAAAATAAGCAACTTTTAAGTACTTTTTAAGCTAGCACTCAAAAAATATTTTTAAGCACTATATACATTAACAAAATGCAAAATAGCTGAATTCTGACAAAGAACTCTTTTTTTTTTTATCATACTAGTCATCATAAAAAGATAGAGATTCTTCGGTTTGATTTCAGAGGGAAGAAAATGAAGCCGGAAATTTAGAATCTCTTGCAAAATGCAGCAGAGTTGCACATGATAGTCCAAGAATAATTCCCACTAAATCCCGTTCAGTATATGTATATGCGGACCAGCAAGTATTTCATCAAAAGGAACAAAGGTGCGCCAAAATGCATTGAGTTTGAATGATTTGTGATAACATTAAAAAGAACAATATGAAAACCACGCTTTTGCATAATACGTGGCGAAAATCAACATAGTAAAGAAATTTTTTTCATTTTTGTAAAGAGAAAATTAAGTACTTTTAAAAAACACCAAATAAAAAAAGCATCTTTCACGGCTTTCAAAAAAACGAAAATCTAAAATAAGCACCTTTAAGCACTTTTTAAAAACACTACACACCCTGCAGAGGTGTTTGTGGTAGAAAATGAAAAATCCTGAAAATATTATTAGCAAAAAATCAATATCAATTTATATATCATACATGTTTAATATTCAACATAACTTTTTGAACTAACATTTATAATGAAACTACCAACTATCACACTTTTATAGTACCTAATTCAAGAAAAAACTCACTTCTTACAAGAATCGCAATATTGGATTGTAAAATAAGAGTGAATATGAATCGCGATATTGGACTCTAAAATCTGGTGAAAATGAATCGCGATGTTGGATATTAAAAAAGCAAAAATAAAAATTACAATGATAAATTTTTAATACGAATATGCAAATAAGATTCAGAGCATAATTATTAGATCGTGTGAATATGAATCGCAATGCATAGTTTTTAAATCACCTATAAACGCAAAAATTAGTGTTCGATATTACAATCAAGCGAATACAAATATTGGATTTTAAAAACGCGAGAATACGAATCACAGCATTGGATTTTAATACGAATACGCAAATATGAATCACACTGCATAATTATTAGATTGTTTGAATACGAATCGCAATGCATAGTTCTTAAATTACCTATGAATGCAAAAATTTATGTTTCATATTGCAACATTGATTATTCACATTACAGAATACGAGTCGCAATATTGGATTTTAAACTCGCGTAAACGCAACATTTGGTTTAGAAAAGCGCTAATACAAATCGTGATATTGGATTTTTAAACCACATTAATAGTAATTGTGATGTGTGACTTTAAATCATGTGAATACAAACTGTGGAATTCTGCGATATTTGAGTAAAAAACACATACCCTGCTTCTAGTTTTTAGACCTGGAAGAATGTTGCAAAAAACCTGTAATTCCGGGGTACCCCCGGAATACAATCACCCCTGACGAGCATGTAGTTTACACCATTTTATTAGGACAAAATTGTAAAAGAATACATGTCACATAACTTAAAAAGAAGAGAAAAAAAAATTTGCACCTTTCCATAATCTTCAGATAAGAGTTGTCCCTCTACTTCAGATAGCCAGATTTCGATATCTTCAATACCTCTATTGAATTGTTGTTGGGCAGCTGCCTCATTCAATTTAGATCCTTTCCTCTCAGTTGCCTCAACAAGTGATTTCCACAAATCCAATATTTCCATCATACGTTCACTAACAAAAAAGAAAAACACTTCTTTAGTCATATAAAAAAAGTGGCTATCAAGCATTGTATTTATCTAACTGCCCACTTTTAAAACAATTCAGTTACTATCATAACTTTTATTTTATTTTTCAATATTTAAAATGCTTTCTAAATAAAAAAAAATACAACAGTACAGTTTAATAACTTTCATTTAAGTCTACTATCCTTTCAATTATAATGTTCAAATAGACTGAACTGGCTCATGCTAATTATTTTCTATAAACAAGTGAAAAATTAGTAATGAGCTTGTGGGGAGAGAAGTTACAGACAATGTCAGCCATCATCCAAGAAAAGATACCCCAAGATAGAATTTAGTTAGCAAGTCTTATATACCAGTGAATTGATGTTTAATAATTGCAGTGGTAGTTCAGCCACAAACTAATAAATATGTAACATACTAACGTAAATAAACATTGAAGTCAAATATAGTATAAAAAAAAAAAAGAAAAAATTCTACATTAATAATTGATTCTTCTTGAACAAGTTCCATGTCATAATGTTTGACAGGAAAAGAGCAATGTTTTTGGAAAAAATATTGGACTTATAGGTACCTCAAATTAATGTATTTTCACTGAATTTTTAGGTATTTTAATAAGGAACATGCATGGTATTTTTTAATTTTTTGAAATGAAACTTCAAACCATTTTATGACGATAGACACCAATTTCAGTTCAGTGGGTTAACTAGTTATTTTGTAATAATATTTAAAATTGCACGATTAGTCACGCAACCTAAAACGCAGTTAGGTTCTTGAAATCAGAATATAGGAAAAATACGACTCCCATCACCTTCTGATACAGAAAAGGAGCATGCTGTCGCTCATAGTACATTGATATTAAATCTCAAAAATAAATCCAAACACCTACAACGAAAATTGTTTTATATCACGTTGTAATAGCTTTACATTTAACACAACTTACAAAATTTAATAATATAAATATATAAATATAAATGTACCAAAGTCGAAAATGACAAAGCCATCAGATGTGATGACCAAAAATAAGGGAAAATTTTTTTTAACTATCTGAAACTTTATTATTTTGTTGCAAAACCATTTAACAGTATTTAGTAATATTTTAACTTTATAAGGATGTTTTTTTATGATTAAGCTTTTCTGAAGAAATCATTCATTATGCTAAATTAAAATGTTTATGAAATGATATTTTTATGAAATGCCTTTGTCTTATTTCATTCTTGGAAATGAAAGGATTTAATTCCTAAAGAGTAATTGTGAACAGGTTATTCCTTTTCATAAATAATTTTTTTCTTACAAAAACAATCTATTTTGTCTCGTTCTGCTTAAACTACGTTATCTAAAAAATATGTTCTTTTGGTTTTCACTTTATTGAAATCGGAATTTTAAGATAAAAAAAATTCACTTTATTTTTGTGTAGTTGAGCGAGGAAAAATGTAAAAAGAATTGAAATAAAAAAAGGGGCTTAAAATATTTTGTGTCATTTCTAATAATAATTAAAATATTTCAGAAGTAAACAATAAAAAAAGGTATTTTTTAAAGAAAATTTTTGAACTTTATTTCTATAAAAACTTTTTAATTTCAATTACATTTCAATTTGCTTTATCTGCGATCAAACCAGCCTGGAAAAATTAAGAAAGTAGTTTCGAACTTTTTTTTGCATTCATCAATTTATTTCTTGTCAAGGGCACCNACTATCCTTTCAATTATAATGTTCAAATAGACTGAACTGGCTCATGCTAATTATTTGCTCTAAACAAGTGTAAAAATAATTAATGAGCTTGTGGGGAGAGAAGTTACAGACAATGTCAGTCATCATCCAAGAAAAGATACCCCAAGACAGAATTTAAATTTAGTTAGCAAGTTTTATATACCAGTGAATTGATGTTTAATCATTGTAGAGGTAGTTCAGCCACAAGCTAATAAATACATAACAAACTAACGTAAATAAACATTGAAGTCAAATAAAGTAAAAAAAAAATCTACATTAATAATTTATTCTTCTTGAACAAGTTCCATGTCATAATGTTTGACAGGAAAAGAGCAAAGTTTTTGGAAAAAATATTGGACATATTTTATATAATATTGGACATATAAGTCCTAATAAGGAAAAAATATTGGACATATAAGTCCTAATAAGGAAAAAATATTGGACATATAAGTCCAATATTTTTTCCAAAAACGTTGCTCTTTTCCTGTCAAACATTATGACATGGAACTTGTGGAACATTATGACATGGAACTTTTAACATTTGAGGTACCTATAAAGGTTCCTCAAATTAATGTATTTTCACTGAATTTTTAGGTATTTTAATAAGGAACATGCATGGTATTTTTTAATTTTTTAAAGTGAAACTTTAAACCATTTTATGACGATAGACACCAATTTCAGTTCAGTGGGTTAACTAGTTATTTTGTAATAATATTTAAAATTGCACGATTAGTCAAGCAACCTAAAACGCAGTTAGGTTCTTAAATCAGAATATAGGAAAAATACGACTCCCATCACTTTCTGATACAGAAAAGGAGCATGCTGTCGCTCATAGTACATTGATATTAAATCTCAAAAATAAATCCAAACACCTACAATGAAAATTGTTTTATATCACATTGTAATAGCTTTACATTTAACACAACTTACAAAATTTAATAATATAAATATATAAATATAAATGTACCAAAGTCGAAAATGACAAAGCCATCAGATGTGATGACCAAAAATAAGGGAAAATTTTTTTTAACTATCTGAAACTTTATTATTTTGTTGCAAAACCATTTAACAGTATTTAGTAATATTTTAACTTTATAAGGATGTTTTTTTATGATTAAGCTTTTCTGAAGAAATCATTCATTATGCTAAATTAAAATGTTTATGAAATGATATTTTTATGAAATGCCTTTGTCTTATTTCATTCTTGGAAATGAAAGGATTTAATTCCTAAAGAGTAATTGTGAACAGGTTATTCCTTTTCATAAATAATTTTTTTCTTACAAAAACAATCTATTTTGTCTCGTTCTGCTTAAACTACGTTATCTAAAAAATATGTTCTTTTGGTTTTCACTTTATTGAAATCGGAATTTTAAGATAAAAAAAATTCACTTTATTTTTGTGTAGTTGAGCGAGGAAAAATGTAAAAAGAATTGAAATAAAAAAAGGAAGGGGCTTAAAATATTTTGTGCCATTTCTAATAATAATTAAAATATTTCAGAAGTAAACAATAAAAAAAGGTATTTTTTAAAGAAAATTTTTGAACTTTATTTCTATAAAAACTTGTTAATTTCAATTACATTTCAATTTGCTTTATATGCGATCAAACCAGCCTGGAAAAATTAAGAAAGTAGTTTCGAACTTTTTTTTGCATTCATCAATTTATTTCTTGTCAAGGGCACCTACAAAAATTTTCTCAGAAGGGAGAGGAGAATTCTATCGGGGGAAAAAAAAAACATTCCTCAAATTTTTAATCATGATTTAAATTTATTTCTGTAATTTTTGAAATGTTAACAATCAATTTTTATAACTTATTCATTGTCACTAAAATACCGAAACAAAATTAGCAATTTTACAATATTTAAATTTTTAATTATATTATTTAATTAATTATTATTATTATTTTCTTTAATTATTCAAGAGAATGTAGTACTTTATTTAGATCATCTTTATTGAGTTCTTTAAATTTTCTGCACACAAAAAACATTTAGACGTTTTTTTTTTTTTTTTTTTAATTTTGCATGATTTATTTTGCGAAATGAATTTTGCAAACATATTTTTAGCTAATAATCGTATAAAATTCCTTGAATAAATTCAAGATTACATATAACAATTGTTACAAATAAATAATCATTTTTTGTAGTTTTGCAGGAGAAAAGGTTTTAGTAAAAAAATAATAACTAAAAATAAATAAGAGATTGAGAACTATTTGAATTTCTCGCAAAAACTTAAATCTAATTCTTAAATAATTACATTTCCTATCTGGGATAACTATAAGGTGAAAAATTTCGAAGCAGTTCTTATTTGTAAATACTGACCAGCATACAAAATTGATATTTTTGAATAAAAAATATCTGTGGTAAACCTATTACTTTTTTACAATGCTTTTACTGAGCATTGAATAATGTTAATATAAGGAGAAATATTTAGCTCACCTTATTCGGGATGAAGCATAATGATTTGCTTCCATCAATTCCTGACCAGTACTAGCAATTTCATCAATCCTACTTTTATTGGCATTTAATTCTTGTTCAAAATTTTGATGTTTCTGGACTTTGCCATTAACATTGGTTGGATCCTATAAAATAATTGTTGTAAGTAAAAAATTTTTTTTAAAAAAAGTTGCTTTTGTTGACACAAAAATCAATTAACTTACAAGATAACTCTCATCGGTTGCAGTCTTCAACTTTTCACTAATCCAACCTTTTGTTTCATCACAATCTCTTTCAAACTGTTGTAAACGATAAGAATCTTCCAGCATTGCACGTCTAATGTCAGATTTCTCCATCAGTGCGGAACGTCTTTCTAGTAACTGCAAAATATAAGCAACTCAACATTAAGATTTCTGAAAATCGATAACTACACACGACTTTTAAACACTCAAAGTCATAAAAGTAAAGTTTTTTCTTCATCAGCAGTTCTATAGAGAATTATTTCAAGAAATTTTAACGGTGTATCAGGCATGAAAACAATGTCGTGAACCCTGTGGCAGAATTTTTTCCGAGCTTTCTGCGACATACCGCTCTAATACCATTATATTTAGGGTTGCGACAGAAAAAAATAAACAATATAGTTGCTTTTAGTAGCCTCAAGCATGAAAATAGTTGCCGAAAACTATGAAAATATTTGCCTAAATAAGAACAAAAATATGACTAAAATTTTAATAAATAATTTAATTGTCATATAGCATGATCCATTTAGTCTAGTTGGTGGCAAATATGCTGAGTTTTATATAAACATTAGTGTTTTAGCACTAAATTTTTATTTCAAAAAAATTTGTATACTTGCAGAAAATTAAATACTTTTAATAACTAGAAATAGTTTAAAAAAATTTTTATTAAAAAAACAACAACATACTTCTTCTAAAAATCTTTTAGTTTAGTCAATAATTGATTTAGAAAATATACAATCCAATACTCGGTTCGCCTTCCAATAAGGCGAACCGAGATCGAATCCCAGTCGATACAAATTCTGCATTCGTCTTGCACGAACCACATTGCTGACGTGAAATATTCTCAGTGGTAGACGGATCATGGATTAGATGCTATTAAAGACTAGTACCCTCAAAAAGTCCTCCACAAAGGCACATTTCTCCTGATACTTGATCCAGGAGTTCCCTTGTCCTCTGGATTGGGTTTAAAACTACAAGGCTACGGAGTTGAACATTAGTAGTCGTAAACCCATGAAATTGTGTCGGCTGTTCAACGATGGTTATATATATTGTGAAAAGTGATTATTCAAATTTGAAATTCATGCATCGTAATATAGTAATAAAAATTGGGTTTTTTAAAATCATGCAGAATTTTGATGGCAAAGATAATCTTTATATAAACGTTAGTGTTCTAGCACTAAATTTTTATATCATTAAAAAAATATTTTTTCATTAAAAAAAAATATATTTTCTAAAAAATTTTCCCTTTTATCAATTGATTTAGCATACATATTGTGAAAAGTGATTACTGAAATTCGAAAAGCACGCATTGTAATATCGCATTAAAAATTGGGTTTTTTAAAATCATACAGAATTTCGATGCAATAACTATTGAAAAGGCGATCGAGAAGCAAAATGGACTTACAATGGATTCTGTGCAAATTTAGCACATTAAAAAATGATGACTCAAATTTGCAATTCTAAATTTTTTATTTTTAAAGAAAAAAAAATTCACTGTGTTCAGAAACCATTGAGGGGTCGCAAGTTGTCAACCCAATTTATGCACACACACACAAAAAAAAAAAAACATTGCTAGGAACATAGAAAAGTCTCTTAATAGCCTCCTTTTCCTGAAAATAGTTTTTTTTTTTTTTAGCATTTTCAGGCAAAAAGAAAAAAAGTTGCAATAACCGCCTTACGACGAGCAAGCAATTACAATATATATAATAGCGATATAAGCAATTAAGTATACTTACAGCAGCTCTTCTTTGTGCAACATCATCTGCTGCATAATGTTGCCCTTCAATCAATTTAGTAGCAAATTCATCAAGAGCCTTAAAAAAATTAAATACATAAATAAAGAGTTACTGAAAGACATCAAAATTGATGAAGATATGAATATTCAATATTTCTCCATTCAAACGATTAAAAAAGATAATTTAAAAATTTTTAAATGAAAATGCAGTGAGCATGCAGCTTAATTTCTTTTTTTTCAAAAGTAAATTAGTATATTACATCTCACTCAGTTGAATGTTTGAATTATTAATTTAATAAGTTTTTTAAAACAAGTAATACAGAGATAAATAAGAGCTTTTGGGGAAAAAAAATGAATTTATACTATATGATATTGGTAACTATGTTTGTGATATATATTAAATGAAGAACTCTCAGATTTATTCTCCTTGTTAAGATGATTTCAGAATAATGTAATTTAGAAACGGCAAATAAAGCACTGTTAATCAGAAATGGCTTGAAGCTTATTTGAAATTCACCATTGTCTCTCAGGCAATCTGCATGGTTTTATATGGTACTACCTGAATTTAATAGACATCTGGTAAAAAGTACCTTATTAATGTTTACCAATTTTTAATGTTCTACAACAAGGGTTTCTAACCAAGGGAGAACTTCACAATTCAGGTTTTAAAGAAATGCAGGTTTCTTTTTTAAAAAAAACAATCCAGGTGGGTTTTATTGGGATTTTTAAAGTTAGGAATTAAAATAAAAAAGTTTTAATTTTAATGTAGTGCCATCTTTCGCATACTGGGTCAAAAACCTTGTCACAATTTTAATGTAGAAATCCTACTTATTAAGCAAAAATTAATCTGCAAGTCTTAAGCCAAATCCAATATAAGCTTTACGAGTAACAACACAGATTTCAAGTAATATTACAAAAATACTCAAATTAATAGAGAAAAATAATTCTTATTACACATTTAATCTTTCTTAAGTTTAATGTAACATTGGAACTTCAAATCTAACTTTTTTTTAAACACCTCAATTTTAAATAGGAAATATTTTATAAATAATATTCAATTTTCGAAAGAATTTTTTTCTTTCCGTCTGAGTATTGTCAAGTCAAACTATTTTATCTGTTGCTCTTTAGGTCTCTGTTACTTAAACTTAACATTATATCACATAAATCACATGCTGTTTTATTTTCTGATTCGTTACACCAGTTTCAGAATAATGGAAAAACCATATCAATTTAATTTTAGATACTTTATAGCTAGTCGTAAAGTATTTAAAATTTATAAAATATAATCTTAATAATAAAATACTTAAAATATAATTTAAATAAAAACACAGTTATCTTATCCGATTCAAAATATGTGGAGTGCACGAAAAAAAATTCTTACTTTAATTTTTTCTTCTTGAGCAGCTAGAGATTTTTCAAAATCTTCATGTTTTTTAATGAGTGCTTCCACAGAATCCAATGAATCTCCCAAATCTTCATTCACCAAGAATGCCTAGGAGAAGAGGAAATTAAATTCGCAATGCCTATTTGCAGTGTCTGGCAAAGTTAGCAGTTGGAAAGAAAAACCCTATCAGCTTAAACTACAAGAATTATATAAAATTTTGCCTGAACATATTTCTTTTATTCCCTGAAATATATATAAATCTCTGAAATGACCAATCTTAAAACATTTAACTTTTTATATTTTTGTAATACAATATATATATAATTTTTAAGTACAATATGTGTAAAATTTTTATGGTTCAGTCTTACAATTTGCTTCGCAAAATGGTTTTAAATTTAGCATACTGCAAGAAGGGTAAAGAAAACAGGCTAAGAACAGAACTGAACTAACACACTATAGTAAATTTAATAAACTAATATTTGCCAACAGTGGAGAAATAAAATAACAGAGATTTTACTAGCAAAATTTTTTAGGCTTTGAGTCAAGTTTTGACACATCATGCATAATTATATAAGTCAAAAAGAGAAATTCAAAATTGAAAATAATATAAGCACTTACATTTACCGAAGTAACAATTATGTATGTAAATCTTAATTTAAATCTTTTTTCAAACCATTATTTATAATTAATTAAACTATAAACACTCAACATACTGCAGTACCGACAATAGCACCATCTGTTTAGAAACAAGGTGTATTTTTGCCATCCGAAGGAAATTTAACTGCAAAATTTTTTTCATCAAANAATTATATAAAACTAGTGGGCTGCGTCCCCTGCTCGCTGACGCTCGCCAACCCCCGAAAATTGCTATGCAATCTTATATGGTTTGCTTCGCTCGCTACTAACTTAGGTACATTGCAAATAAACAAAATTCTAAAAATTCAAAGCAATCATTCAAATTCATATAACAACTTTTTTTTGAAAAAAAAATTACATCTTTTTAGTAAATACTAAGTCATTAAAATAAATTTGAATTCAAATAAATGACATGTAATTCGTTAAACCTATTTGAAATGCGCTATAGTATAAAATCTTAAAGCCTAGTAGCACGACTGAGAGACTCATTTTTCAATGAATAACTACTAATAACAATAATAAAACAATTTGTGATATAAATAAAAAATCGTCAAATAAATTTGTGAAAAAAAGCGCTTTCGACAAAATACTAAAATAGAGATCTATCGACAAAGACTACTCACTTCTGCCTAGCTTAAGGTTATTTCAGTTTCCGTTTTTAAAAGCGCTATATGTTGAGCACCTCAGCTAGATTTGGCATGTGACATTTTTAGCGGCAATCATTGGTCGATTTTCTATCGTTGCCATTCGAGGAGTTGTAATGAGGCTTTTTTTTGTCGCCGTGTATGAGAAATATATATATAGATTTAAAATGTTGCCAGAACATACTTCTTTTATTCCTTGAAACATATATAAATCTCTGAAATGACCAATCTTAAAAGATTTAACTTTTTAAATTTTTTTGTAATACAATATATGTATAATTTTTATGGTTCAGTTTTACAATTTGCTTTGCAAAATAGTTTAAGTTCAGCATACTGCAAGAAGGGTAAAGAAAACAGGCTAAGAACAGAACTGAACTAACACTCTATAGTAAATTTAATAAACTAATATTTTCCAACATTGGAGAAATAAAATAACAGAGATTTTACTAGCAAATTTTTAAGGCTTTGAGTCAAGTTTTGACACATCATGCATAATTATATAAGTCAAAAAGAGAAATTCAAAATTAAGCACTTACATTTACCGAAGTAACAATTATGTATATAAATCTTAATCTAAAGATTTTTTCAAACCATTATTTATAATTAATTTAACTATAAACACTCAACATACTGCAGTACCGACAATAGCACCATCTGTTTAGAAACAAGGTGTATTTTTGCCATCCGAAGGAAATTTAACTGCAAAATTTTTTTCATCAAATACTGAGATATTTGAGAATATACGGGCAACAGGAGATTGATGAAAAATACAGGAGTCTTTGTTATAAAACAGGAGACTTTGCAGGCACGTAAACTATTATATTAGATGAAGAACAAATTAAAAAATATTAAAGTTTTTAAATGATTTTAATTTACACAGGGCTGCCACTGGATGAAAACAAGAAAAATAGTTGCTTTAGTTGCATCATATATGAAAAATAGTCTCCAAGATATATAAAATAGTTGTTAACATCATATCCTCCTCTAACATAATTTTAATTATTTGTGCTGCAATAGCATAAAATTCAAATAACATGCAGTTAGATACTCATATTTTATAAAAAATGTACATTTATTTGTGGATTTGCCAACAATATATTCTTTCACACTACGCACAAAAACAGGGAGTTTTATTTTTATCTGTTACAGAACAGTTGAATTTGAAACTTTAATTTCCTTTCTCGGTTCTAAGTTGCAGCTGCTTAGTTTAGGCATTAAAAAAATAAATATTGCAATTTAATTCCATTTTATTTTGTTTATTTTTCATAACTGACACATTTCCAAATTTTAATGCTTATCAAAAAAATCACGATCATAACTCGACAAAACAAATATCACCATGTACCTTTTTTTCTATTCTAAATAGCTCTAAAAAAATTAACAACACATTTTGCGTAATCAAAGACAATTTTTCTAATTTTGCTACTTCGTTCAAATTAAAAGATAGGAAGAAACTTAATCCTCAGAGATATTACATTAGCTTTCTAAAGCAGGAGGAGCATTCACGTAGTGCAAATTCCAATTCCATCAGTCTGATTGGTTAAATATGTCTATCATGCTTTTGACATCAAACAGTGAGAAATAATAAAGTTAGGATAAAACGAAAGCGCGGAAAAAAAAAGTGGGGGAAACTCATGAAGCTATTCTTCATCTTAGTCGTTTTGGCTTAAAAAAGTCGCTGATTTTACGCAAATCATTGCAAATTAGTTGTTTTTACTCATATTTCTACTAAAATAGTCGCCATAGTTGCTATTGCTTTAAAATAGTCGTTTTAGTCGCCTTTTTAGTCTCCAATGGCAGCCCTGTTTACATTAAAATATTGAAGGATATAAAAAAAATCAAATAATCCATGAAATTTAAATAGATGAGTTTACTTCTTGTTTAGCCATCCAAGTGTCTGCCTGTTCAGTGTCTCTATAGAAGAGTTGCAAATCCATGCATTGTTCATAAAGGATACGTCTCTCCTCCCACAGTGAGAGTAGAGACTGCTTTTCATTTGCAAGAGTCACAAGCTGTAAAACAAAGAAAACTTTTATAAGTATTAGTTTTACTGGAGTACACGGGAAATTTTATTTTTCAAATGTGAAAAAAAAATCCCTCTACATATTATACACAATATATTAAGAGGAAACACAATTACTGTGCTCTGATGTCAGCTATATTAGGCTAACTAATTTGAATTGAGGGAAAAACCTATAGGATAAAAGGAACAGCTGAACATACATGCTATAGTAAATGAAATAGTTTCAAAATTAATTTATTTATAAGCATTTATTTATTAGCATACATTTAAACACTTCTCCAAGAGCATTTATTGAAAAACGTTAAATTATCATAATGATGAATAGATGATAATTACTTTTTCCTTCACTTCTTCAACTGCATAATGATCTTGATCTAAAAGTATTTTTCCTGCTTCAGCGGTGGCTCTAAAACTATCTTCTCTTGCATCTATCTCACCCTAATTAAAATAAATATTTTAAGCATATATTCCATAATACATCTCTTTTTCTGAATTACTAACTATCAATACTTGGTAAATCAAATGCTCAATTACTAGTTCTAAATACAAATAATGCTAATTAATATAAGACATAAAAGGAAATTTATTTTTTAAGAAACCACGCATTTATAAAATTTAAACACTAGTTTACATATTATTTTATAAATAACTAGTTTACATTATATGGCAAAGAGGCTTTTCAAGCTCTTGAAGCTGCTGCCACAAATATGGGCCTTTCTATTAACAAAGATAAGATGTAATTCATGGGATTTTCATCCTCAACTGCAATTAACAGTGCCCCTTTATGTATCGATGGTTATACCATTGTAAAGGTTAACAAATTGAAATGTTTGGTACTGTAGTTAACGATCAAAACATACTTAGAGCAGAAATCAATAATAGAGATCGAATCTTCTCAGCCGAAAAACAAAGTTAAAACTCTATAAGACACTCGTACTTCCTGTAATGCTTTATAAAAGCAAAAATTGAATCCTAAATTCAGAAATTTAGTGGTCACTAGACACTTTCGAAAGAAAGATCCTCAGAGCCATCTTTCATGGAATTCAAGAAAGAGGATGCTGGTGTACCTGATATAACTTCAAGCTTTACTGACTCTATAAGCAGCCCCAAATTACACAAATAATCCTCAGCAATAGGCTGAGATGGCTAGCCCATCTATGGAGAAGCCCTGAAAATAGCACCATGAGAATTGTTGCCTTTAAGAACCCCGAGGGGACATGTCCCAGAGGCAGACCCCAACTAGATGGTTCAACGATATCGAAAATGACATGAAAACCCCAAAGATTAGAAATTGGAAGGGAGTTAAAATGGATAAGAGGAGCTGCATTTGTCAGTTATTGAGGCAGCAAAAGCCAGCAGTTGCACTGACAAAGAAACACTATTTTGGAGAATTCAGAAATTGGCTTTGCGTAAGAAATTTTGCTTTTTGAAAATATTCAATACAAACCTTGTGTTCCTGATGCCTTTCAAGCAATGCTTCAGCTCCTGCTACATCTTTAGCCAATTCATCTGCAGAAATGATAGCCTTCATGTCGTGAATCCAAGATACTAAATCTCTGAAGTCGGCTAGAAATCGGTGAAGAAGATACGACTCATCCAGGCGTCTACGGCGCTCTTGTGCCTATAAATACATCAAATTTTATTTTATTTTTTACTTTTATTTAATTATTTATAATCGCAAATTATATTATTAAAAAAGACTTAATATTTTTAAAAAAGCAGAGACTAACCTTTGATTTAAGACTCTCCCAATTAGATGAGATTTCAGCATTTTTTGACTGTATTTGTCCTGAATGATCTTGATGAATAACACATAATCTGTCTGCTTCTTGGGCTAATGTCATTACCTTAAAAAAATAAAAATAGCATTTAACAGGAATAATTGTGAGCCCAACTCAAAAATCCTGAAAATTTCGAGTAAAATCATTAATGATGTATTTTAAAAAATTTATGTCATTGATATTTTTAAAGCATGAAATTCTAAATAAATTATATGCAGCGTAATTTAAATAAATACAGTAGAACTCCAATTATCCGAACTCCAACTATCCGAATCGTCGATTATCCGAATCTCTTTCAGAATTCGTATGGAAATATGAAAATATAGTAAAAAGATAAGTTTCTCTTTTTTTATATGAATAAAATAAAATTTTAGTAAAGCCAAGGAAAGATTTATGCAGAGAAAGTTTACAGGATAGGACAAAGATTTGTGGAAAAGCTAAGATCTTAGCTGAAAAGCTGGGTTATTTATCTTTCAAAGCAAGTAACGGCTGGCTAAGGAATTTTAAGTCTAGGCACGGTATTCGTGAACTAGATTTAAGTGGTGAAAAGTTATCTGCAGACTCCAAAGCTTCTGACGAGTTTATTGAAAAATTTAAAGTTATAGCAGCCTCTTACGATTCCGACTTCTTATACAACGCCGATGAGTCTGGTCTAATATGGAAAGCTTTACCCAAAACCACTTTAGCCTCTAAAAGAGAGTGCAGTGCCAAAGCCTCCGAGTGCTCCAGGGCATAAAGCTAGTAAAGACCGCGTTACTGTGCTTAACTGCCCGAACTCAACTGGGAGCCATGAAATACCCCTTCTGTTAATAGGGAAGTCAAAACGCCCAAGAGCATTTAAAAATGTCAAAAAACTTCCCCTATTATATAAAAACCAATACAAAGCTTGGATGACTGCAGCACTGTTTACAGAGTGATACGATGCAATTTTCATTCCTGAAGTGAAAAAACTCCAAAAATCTGTTGGAAGTCCTATGCTTTTGATTGTTGATAATGCACCAACTCATCCCACAGAAGAATTGTTGAAATCCTCAAGAATCCTTAGAAGAAATCCTTAAAAACATTTTTTCCCCTCATTTCCACTATACATACAGTAATTATTTAAAATAAGCATTTTTTAAAAATAAAATCCAGTTATCCGAATTTTTGATTATCCGAACGGAGTCTGGTCCCAATTGATTCGGATAATTGGAGTTCTACTGTAATTATCTATAAGTTTACTTTTATTTTTAATCACATTTATTATTCTACCAGAAAAAAATATTTACAAATGAAAGAGATGCCAAGCATTAAATAAAGTTCTAATATTTTAAATAAAATATACAAGAATTTTTATACATAAATTTAATCGATGATTTCTTGAAACTTCTGGACCTTGGATTTCCAGAAACTTCCAGATAGCAATTAGCAAAAAAAAAAAAAAAAAATCCACATTTTTTCTGAAGTACAATCATCTCTGATTCATAAAAACTAAACTAAAATTGACGATTATTCACCAAAGCTACAATGCACAAGGATATTTGTCTAAATTTCTTTAAGTTCAAAAATATTTTGAGTGCTAGAAGAAAAATTGTCCTCAGATTTATATGTATATACAAAATTTACGTATAAGAAAACTGTATTTGATTGTTGGATCTATTAAAACAAAAGTATTTTTATAATCACTATAATAATATCTGAAGAGATCATGACCCTTGCACTGTAACTAAGGGAGTTTCAAACAGTATATATTCTAGGAATTGAGACCTAATATTTAATAAAAAAAACTAATAATTTTTTAACAGATTTTAACTACGGAAATTGTAAAATTCTTCACTTTTTTTTTGGTTAAAATTTTAAAAAAAAAAATTTTAAAAAAAAAAAAATTCACTTCAGTTAAGGAGATTTTGTTTTCTGTAACATTTTTAGCATATGTTTAAGAAATGTTCAACATTTAAAGTTATCTCTTCAAAGAAATAAAAAAAAACTAAACTAGTCACCATTTGTAAACAAATTTTTACATAAATAATAAAAAAAAAATATTCCTTTTCAGTCAAAGTTTACGGGTGTGGCGTATCTTAGCGAAATTGCATTAGTTACTGGAAATATAAATAAACAGTTTTTAAAATAATTTAAACATTTAGCAAAAGAATCAAGTAGATAACACAAAAGTAATAAAACGGACATACTATAAATACTAAATGGATTCATAAAATGGATAAATAAAAATGGATTCATTTACGACACTTTTAAACATGAAATAGGGCTGCAATTTAATTTCTGGGATTCCGTGAGTATCCAGATAAATGCAGTAATACAGTTGATTGCTACTGGAAGGGATAAATTTGAGCCCAACTTAAAAATCCAGAAAATTTCCTGACTAAAATCATTAATGATGCATTTCAAAAAATAAATGTCATTATAAACTTAAATTGTTGATATTTTTAATACATGAAATTTTAAATAAATTATATGCAGTACAATTCAGACGAATAATTAATTACTAGCTTACTTTTATCTCTAACTCTAATCACATTTATTATTCTACTAGAAAAAATATTTACAAATGAAAGAGATAATCGTGAGATAACAAATTCTAGTCCTAATATTTTTAACTAAAATATACAAGAATTTCTATACATAATTGTGATTGATGAGTTCTAGAAACTTCTGGACCTTGGATTTCCAGATCATAGTTAGTGAAAAATCTGGAAATCTGAATTTTTTCCGGAGCGCAATCATCTCTGTACTGGTAGACAAAATCACAGCACATTGTCGATGTCAGGAAAAAATATATAAATTTAAAATAATAATAATAATAATAATGTTTTGATAAATATTCATCGTTGAAAATGATTTATTTATCAGAACAGTAAAATAAAAAATAATAATTGGGTTACTTTGTCTTCGAGGGCAGCCAAATCTCTCTCAATGCCTTCATGTTTTCTCTGCAGTGTTTGCACACTCACTAGATCTCTACCATAATCATCTGTGGACAAAACTAAGTCTTTCTCTGTTATCCAGGTAATGGTCTCATCAGCATCTCTGAAGAAAAAAATCCATTTTAAATACCACCAGTCACACATGATAGAGAAAAAAATCAAATTTTATGTAGCAGAGAATACATTCAAACCTCCTAGCAGAAACCACACAATGACCAACACAGATAGAAGTCAGAAAATTTAGTGACTGGTCTGAAGGACCACAACAAGTTACAGTGACTCCACTAAGTCAATTAGTTATAACATGTAATTTTACAGAGTGTGGGAAAAAAATAAAGACATAGTAGGTAAACAGTGATTCCTAAAGATTACTGCTCAATGACAATTGCTAGTTGCTTAAAAAAACCACATCAGCTTTGGGCTAAATTTCAATTTTATAAGTTACTCAAAACGTATGTTCTTTCAAAATTAAATTCTTTTGCAGTATGGTTACAGAACATTCAAAATCGGAAGGATGGGAGAGTGCTCAAGTTGCCAGAAATCTGTTACACAGCATTCCAATATTCAGCAAGCTCAACAGTTGTGTTCTGACACTGATTTTAGAACAGTTACACTTCACCAGCTTAAAGGTAGAGCAATTTTAACAGTCACCAAATGATTTGTCAATAGTGTCCAATGAGAAAAACACAGAAATATGCAAAATTGTAGACACTATATTAAGTGGTGATCAGCAAAATCGGCTGCTACCCTGACGAGTTTTTGAACAGCACCAATCCCACAGGAATATCTCCCCATAAATTAAAAAAGGTGCCATCATTATGTTCTCTAAAGGTGGAACTGGACTAATTGTCCCAAACCTGAGAAAAAATACAAAAATCAAAGCTCGATGATTTAAGGCTGAATAAGCCAATTAATTTCTATTCCCAGAATACCTCTAATTTCATCAGACATGCTCATTTCTTTTAACAGAAAGCAGTTCATAGCCTACTCAATAACGACATTACGTTTGAAAAATTTAGTTCTGCAACTCTATTTTTAAAGAAGTTCTTAATCTTTAATAGCATTTGTACTTAGTGTTTGTTGTCAATTAATGTTTAGTTTCTGCAAGTTTTTCTATTAAATGTCATACATTTCAATTTAATTTCCTAATAATATGTCATTTGACAACTTTACAGTGATAACTTACAGTTCTGAAATTTATGTTTCTAACAAAGTTGGGAATCCTTAACAGTTTTTGTTTTTTAAAACTATAATTGTTTTGGCTACGCAAAAGTTCTGTTCATGAAAGTTTTTCTAATGCATGTCCCTTATTTCAATTTAAAATATTTTGTTGCAGTAACTTATTGTTTAAAATTTTAACTTCTTTAAAAACGAAAAAAAAAAAACATTTTGAAGAGACTTTAATAGATTTAAATTCGTAAGATTTTACACTAGAAAATATTTCAAATAGATTTAATTAGGTAACAAGCAAAATAAACATAAACTTATATAGCAATATTTGGGGGTTGCCTAGCATCAAAGAGCAGGGGAGGGTGCTCACTAATTTTATAGGGCTGCAACTAAATTAATGAGTACATAATTAACCAAAAATCATTCTTCAGAGCTAAAATAATTTATGTATTTCCCAATTATTATAATTAAATGCAGTCTCTTTTTTTTAAAAAAAAATATCTATTTGTGTTAACATTTGAATTTTTAACTTTCTACAGAATTTACAAACAAACATACATAAAAAGAGATAAGTTAAAAAAAATGGTAGAAAGTGAAAAATCACAATAAAAGTTTAAAAAATTTTAAAAATGTAGTCGATAAAATTTTTGGAAACTTTAAGAGACAAAATAAGCTATAGAGTAGAAAATTCTCAAATACTGACTTCCAACAATTCAATTTTTAAAAAAAAGTCAGTATTTACCTATTAAAACGTTGAATTTCGTGTGCCCCAAAGAGCTTTTCTTGTTTCAAAAGTGTCAAAGCTTTTAATCTCTGCCAAGCATCATTCACCTCCTAAAAGAAGTTAAAACAGCAATACAATCAGGAGCAAAACACACACACAAAAAAATTATTAATAATAAAAAAAATATCAATATACAAAAAGCAAGAAAAAATAAAATATACAAAAAATATATTCTTTTAAAATATTTCATGTCTTTAAATATATAAAAAAAAAATGCTCTTTAATAAACATTCTTCATTGTCTAAATGTATAAAACAAACTTATTTTTAATAAATCAAAAAAAAAAGTAAACAAAATCAAAGAAATATTTGTAACTGAAATTAAAATTTCAGGCACAATAATTTCTAACTTTGCTAGAATTCAAGAATTGTTTGTTTGTGTCATCCTGAAAGAAAAAATAAAAAGCAGAAGAAAGGTTTAATTAATCTACCTCTTTTCTCTTGTTGATAGTTTCTCCTTCAGGATGTCCTTCATTCACTAATTTTTCAGCTTGCTCATTCACTTCCTGCACTCTGAATTCTTGACTTGCCATATCCTATAAAATATCACAATTTTCATTTAAAAAACTTCTAAATTTAGCAATAGACTTCTGTATAATAAGATATTTAAAAATTAATAACTCAAATTAAATTGTTTACATATTCCTACAAAACGCTGCAAAATAATAACGGCAAGGGATTATCCACAAATTCCATCTTATACTATTAAACAAGATTTAATAAAAATGAGACCAGCATTTTAGGGACCACCACCCCCATAAAAGTATGTTTTCTTTCACTATACCATCAAACTTTCTCTATACCAAGTTGATCGTTTTGAGCTTCTTTTCTTTTTGATAAGTACAAAAAGGACTTAGAAAATTGCTTGAAACTTTTTAAATTTTTAAGATGTTCGATTCAATTTTTTTTTTATTAGTTGCCAAAAACTATTAACTACAAAATTATGATTTTTTTTTTTTTTAATTTTTCAGTGTTCACAGTATAAAAGAACTAGCTTAAATACTCCTAACTTGTGCAGTTTTTTAAAAAAAAATTTACAATTTTATATCTACACTTTTGTTTAATTCCATTGAATATCTATGAAGTTATAACAAAAAAAAGTAAGCAAAAAAAAAATATTTATAAAAATGTGCAAATTTTCAAAAATATTTACTTTAGGTTTTTGAAACTTTATGCAGTAATTAAAAATAACAACTAAAGTAATTCATACAAGTTGCAAGCGTATTGCTTGATTTTCTGGCATAGGCAAAAATACTTTTTTGTTCTCGTAATTTATTGTAAACCTCTGAAAGCTTTAACTTTTATTGATAAGAATGTAAAATCATGTGAACTAAAACAACTCTACAAAACAATCCTTTGGATATTTCTTGAGAAATTAAAAAAAGTCAAAAACTGAATGTGTCTCTTCCATTATTGTAGGGTAGTGTAGAGCATAAAAACTCTATTAATCACAAATATTTTAATAAATTCATTAAACTATAAGTTCATTGAATTGATCGTGATTGGTCTACTCTTTAAAAAGAAAAAAAGCCTTTGTATTTTTTAAGTTTAAAATGAATAATTTCATTAAACTTATAGACAAACGCAGTCATACCAATTTTTTTTACTTTGAAGTAGGAAACTTTTCACGTTCAATGCTTAAGCTTGCCCTCACTTGAAACATAAAAGATATTTCTGAAAAACTTATCGGAAATATACAATTACATCCCTGTGGCAACATTGTCGAAGTACGTTACAGAATACTTGCAGAAAGATTTTTCTCTTGGGAAATAAAAAATTTAATTTTTTTTCTGAAGAAATTTTTAAAAGATTTCATCTTTTTTTCAGTAATTTAAAGTAACAGAAACATTGTGTTTAAAGTATCAGAAAAATGCACTAATTATTTCCTTTTTGAAATTTTGTAAAGCAATACAAAAACTTACAATTTGTAAATAAATTAAACGATGATAAATTAAAATTCATACATAAATTAAAAATCACAAAATCCATGCAGTAACTTCAAAATAAAGATCAACCACAAAATCACGGGAATAGGACTCTTTAGAAAAGAGATACTCAAATAAGTGTGTGTAAAACATGGTGTTCTTCAAAAAACTTCTAGAGTGAACTATTTTTTAAATTTTTGAATTTTATATATCTAATTTGAAATTCTATCTGAAACCAGTCTGCAAAAACTCTAATGTCCTGCGATAATGTTGCCGCAATTATGCCACAGGGGACACAATCAGAATGATAAATACTGAATTCGACTAAATTGAATATAGAGATGCCAATTTGTCAGCATATTTTGAGATATTAATGCAAAATTACACAAAAAGTTGCTGAGAGCACAGCAAAAAAAAATAGGGAATTCAATAAAAATGCTGCAACATTATGCATCAACCAAACACACAGAATACAAATCAGAGTAATTAAATTATCTATACTTGCTTTTTGAAACTCATCAAACTTTCGTTGCAATACTTCAACATGCTCAAGATCTTGTCCAAATTCATCAGTGGTAACAAAGGCTTCCTATAAAAACATCAGAAATGTTTAAAATACATCACAAATGTTTAAAAAGAAACATCACAAATGTTTAAAAAGAAACATCACAAATGTTTAAAAAGAAATAAATAAAAGGTACGACAAGAAATGTTTCTTTGAACTACTATTTACCTTATCATTAATCCAGAACATAACCTCATCGCACTGGCGTAGAAATTGCACTAGAACTAAAGCCTGTTGCAATTTCAACCCTTTATCTGCAAGCTTAGATAACAACAATTCCCAAAGGCGGTGCAACTCTTCCAAACGATGCTGCAAAAGAACATTTAATAATATGAAACCAAGGTGGAAGAAAATTACTACTTCAACAAACAATAAAACAAGACTTATTTTGATCAAATTTTAAATAAAACTTATTTCAACAGAAAGTTTGCATTCTTAATTTCAGTGTCATTCCAAAGAAAAAGTCAACACTATGGAATTATGCTATAAAAATGTTGAAAATATATAATTTTTTTAAAAATTTTATTAAAAAAAAAATGTTTTTAGACCTTTTGGAAAATTTCAAGAATTATTTATTGTGAAATAACAACTTTCACAACTTAAATTTTTTCTCTTACATAAACACCATATACTTATTAACATTAAAAAAAAAAATCAATAAAGTGTCTTGTTTTTAAAAAATGAAAAGTGATTTGTAATTACAAAATAATTCAAGATTTTTTTATAGCACAAAATTAGTTTCTTCACCTCAATGATGTTAAATGTGATTTTAAAAATATGCAAATATATATATATATAAATGTTTCATCTTCATATTGAACTTCATACCCACAAAATATCTTCAAAAAAATCTGCAACATGATTGTAACTGGCAACAACTATTGGTTGATTTTAATTGAAATGAGCCATATACATATTTAAAAATAAATGCATGCATTTTTATTATGAGCTTCGTAAATTTACTTAACCTCGTAAAAAATAAATGAATAAGTTCCTTATTAAGAGTCTTAATATTTTATTTTTTACTTGAACATATACCTGCAACTGTTCAGGTATAAATAAATTAAATTTTTACTGGGTGCCTAAAATTAACCTGGTAAAATATTCAGTACATTTTCCTGACAAAATTTTAGGACCCAGTACATTTTTATTCATGAATGTAATAAACATTCTAGACAAAAATTTTCTGAAAAATTAGTTACAACAAAAATAGATTTTTTTTACTTTAACTAGGTTAGACAGATACTTTTTTAGACATTAACTTGAGATTTACAGCCAATCAAGAAAAATGTAGATTAAAAAAATTAACATAGACAAGTAATAAAACAAATTTCAAAATATTTAGGGGTCTGTATGGGTTTTTCTGAGAGGTACCTATTTTGTGAAAATTTAGACATAATTTGTGAAAATTAAGAATTATATTAAAATATCAACACAAAAGTATGGTAAAAATATGGATTTATCGCCTCTTACGGGATACAAAAGTAAAATTTCAAGAAAAAGTATTTTGTGAAACTACCGTTTTTCCTTAAGTTGAATTTATGAAGATACCGCTAAACAGTAGTAAATTTGCCCTAGACAGACCCTTGACATTATAAATTTATTTTTAATTATAACAAAATAAAATTGCTCTATTGCCCTGGCTTAATGGAATAGAATAAATTAAATCACAAATCTCACAAAAAAAAACTTTCTGTTTAATTTATTATTTTAGTATACTACACAGAAAAAAAAAAGTCAAATTTTCTTTCAAAAGCAACAAATCGAAAAATTAAATAACAGATGTATGCAAAAATAAAGAGATCAATAACGAAAAAAATAGACAAAATAAGTAATTACTTTAATGACATCTGATGCAAAATGATTTTGATTGATAAGTTCAGAACCAGTGTTGTCCAAGGCAACAATAGCGTTACTATGAGCAGCAACTTCAGCTTCAAATGCTTGGTGTTTTTGAATTTTAGCCTGTGAAATAGAAGGGAAAAAAATTTATCAAGCTAAAATTAATATAATACAAAATTATATGGAGATTGATCAATTAAACTTAGTTGGAAATAATTTGTTTTCCAAGTGAGTCAATTAGAAAAATTTCATAACATTGACAATATTTATATTCTTATAAAATTTTATACTTGTGGAACAAATTTAATACTTTAGAAAAAAGTCAAGTACTGGCAAAATACTAAAATAAAAGATATAAATAAGCAAAATATTGAGGTAAAAGGTATGACACCATACCTGCCAACATTGGAGAAATAAAATAACGGATATACAGACATTGATATAGTTTTCAAATATTAATTCATTAACTAAATTTAATTAATTTTAGCTTAATAAGGGAGAAAAAAATTTTATTAATTTAATAAAAAGTAACTAAAATAAAAAATTTCTTTACTGACCTAAGTAGGAATCGACTTCAATTTTTTTTTATTTTTAATATAACTTGTTTCCTTTTAATATTACTTTTATTTCAAACTCGATAGTTTCCAAAGGGTCTTTGAGACAACTTAAATTTTACGATACAAATTCTCTAACAAATTTAATACTGAGAAATAGGAATTAGTTTTTAAAAGAAGTTGTAAGTAACAAATCTACTAAAAGATATTGTTTACTGGAGACAGAAGACACTTTGGTATATGTGAAGAGATGAGTGAAAATCTATAGAAACTAAGTAAAATTTCTTAGTTACTAGTGCTTCAATTTTTTTTTTTTTTTTTTCATTTCTAATACTGCTATTATCAAAGTAGTTATAATAGCCACTTGAGGTGCAAACTTTCAATTTTTTTTAAAATTCATTATGAAAAAGTTATAGCTAATTTAAAATGGTTTATTTTCTTATTTCAGAAAAATAAAAATAATCTTATTTAATGTCAGTTGAAATAAATATTTATAATGCATCAACAATGATTTTTTTTTTAATTTACAAAAACTATCATTTATTACATTCAAAATAATTTTCGTTTCTTCTATTCTCACAAACAGAGCCTGACTAAGGCAGGGGCATGCAAGGCAGTTGCCCCGGGGCCCCACATCAGAGGGGGCCCCCTAAATTGAGGGTTTCATTCTTCATTGAACTTTTTTTAAATATCAGTACTGAATAAAATCCGCCAGTTTTATGTTAGCTTCTTCATTACATCATCGTATGAACACAAAATATTTCGTAAATTTATGGCTTTCTAGGATGGAATTCAGCTAAATTTTTACAATCACGGTGGAGAAATTTGCCAAATGAAAACTCTGTGCTTTTACATATCGCAAAATGCTATATGTTTATAAAAATACGGGTTTCTGATTGGCTAATTGAGCTATCGTAATTGCTAAAAATTTAGCTGAATTCCGCTTTAATTTCAGCAAGGATATGAATTTTTGGCAGCTAGATGACAAAGTTAACAATCAGGAAGCTGCATTTGCATGATGGACATAGAATTGTCAGAAAATCAATAAAATGGACAGAACGATGTTTCGTCTGACGGAGTATGAAAGGGGACTTTATAGCTATTTTAGATTCTAGTGATTTTTCTTGTCATACATCTATAATGAGGTGAAAAATTTAAATACCACCATAAATTTCGGTTCTCCATTTCTGAAGTAGAGGAGAGCCCAAAAAGAAGTTTTTGCCCCATATCACAATTAGGGTAAGTCAGGCCCTACTTACAAAATTGTAAAAATTTGTTATAAAAAGAACAAGAGCATAAACTTTAGTTCTTAAGAAACATTTACAAGCATCTTGTACTTATTCAGGGGAAATTGTGAGCCCAAGTCAAAATTCTTGAAAATTTCTCGAGTTAATAAAATAAAAAACAATTTAAATTGAAAAAATTTTAAATAAGTTTTTTTCTTCCTTTTTCTCAATATTTCTTAGTTTACTTAAAATTTTACACATACCTATACCATTTACATATAGNTACTTTTTCTCAATATTTCTTAGTTTACTTAAAATTTTACACATACCTATACCATTTACACATACCTATGGTGATCTGGAGAAGTAATTAAAATTTACAAATGTCTTTCTTTCTTGAGTTTATGATTATAACAACTATTTACTGATAAAAAAATGAATAATAATCATGAATATAAGCTTATAAAGTATCTTTCTGGCTCTCCCTTACAAACAAATAATACAAACTGTGTTTTTCAGTTCCACCTTGGAAAATTTGATTTCTGGAAACTTCTGTGATCAATGATTTTTTGAAACATCTGGACCTTCGATCTCCGGAAACTTCCGGATCACTGTTACCGAAAAATACAGATTTTTTCCTGAGGACAATCAGCCCTGCTTATTAAAAAAATTTATAATAAACAGCTAAAAAAAAACTGCATTAAAAACTCAACACATGCCTGCAAATTTGTAGGATCTTTATAGCTTTCATCAGAAGCTGCCTGCAACTTTTCATTTATCCATGATTCCAGCTCATCGGCATCTCGTTTAAAATACTGAAACCTTCTGGAGTCTTCTAATCTTTCTCTCTTATGCCTTGCTTCGATTTTGAATTCAGAATAGCGAGAGAGAACTTGTTCACGTCGATCCTGAATATCATCAACACTCTCCAAAATCTTAATTTCTCTCGGTTGAAGGTCCATATTGGACACTGAAAAGAAATATAAAATATTTTTAATACTCATAATTTAATTGCTATGGTAATAAAAAAAAAAACAATAAATAACACTTAGCAAGTAGTGTTTAAAGCCAAAAATTAGAAACAATGATACTGCATTTGGGTTATAAAAACCGAATATACCTATTGCCAGACAATAGCAGTATTCATAAGGTTGCCACAGAAAAAAAATGAACGAAATTATTGCTTTTAGTCGCCTAAAGCATGAAATTAGTCGCCAAAATTTATGAAAATAGTTGCCTAAATAAGAACAAAAATTTCTTAAAAATATGACAAATTTTATTAAATGACTTAATTGGCATATACCACCATGATCAATTTAGTCAAGTTGGTGGCAAATATGGTAATTTTAATATTGACGTTAGTGTTCTAGCACTGAATTTTTATGTGAAAAGAAAAAAAAACAACTTATATTTGCAGAAACTTTTAATTACCAGAATTCATTCAAAAACATACTTTTAAAATTTTTTTTCCCTTTTATCAATAGTTGATTTAGAAAATATTATATTGTATTGAAAATTAGTTTCTTGTTTTAAAATCATGTGGAACTTCAAAGCAATAACCATAGAAAAGGCGATCGAGAAACGAAATAGACTTACAATGGAAGGTGTGCAAATTTAATGCATTAAAAAGTGATGACTCAAATTTGCAATTCAAAATTTTAAACATATTTTATTTTAAAAAAAATCAGTGTTCAGAAGCTCCCGAGGTTGTTCAACCTAATTTGTACTAAAAAAAACATCGCTATGAGTACAGAAAAGTCTCCCAATAGTGATCCTTTACCTGTAAATAGTTGCTTTTTTAGTCCTTTCAGACATAAAAAGTTACCATAGTCGCATCATGCCGCAAACAGTTGCATTTTAGTTGCTTATGGAAACCCTGTATTCTGGGCAGGGATTCAAAACCAACCACCAGTGGAATAACTTCCATGGTCGAGATCTTCCCTTGGTGACATACAATCCACTGTTTTAAATTTTAGTATTTTGAAGGCACTTTAAAAGGGCTAACAGTACTATCAAAGGGAAATTAATTTATAACTACTATATCATTGTATTGTATCTGAATTATTTTCATAGAATATTTTCTTTTTTATATAATTGTAATAAAATTAGTAATTGCATTTAATATTTAAGATAAAGAGAAGTAATTCAATTGGAAGGATTCAATTAATTTTCAAATTGTAATAAAAATTGATGGTTTGAGGTTTTATAAAGTTGACAAGGGTTTTTTAACCAGACTTTATTCATCATAACCTGGTCAACCAGATTTAAGTAAGTGGATGTAGGAGTAGCTTATTATGAATAATTTAAATTAACTCTCTTTTTTTTTCTCTTTTTACGAATTAATTACGATCCATTATTATGTTAACTAATGACATTAATTTTGAACCATTTGGTGTTCGAACGAGCTAGCTATATATACTATTTTCAATTGACATAAAAAATAATAAATAACTATAACAAAACGAATGATGCCGAAATACACATTAAAAAAATATAAGTATGTAACAATTCATTAAAATGAAGATAAAATTCCTCAGACCGTATATTTTACGTAAGTAAAATTAAAAAAGGTCACTTCAAACTAATAAACTGGTGAAAGATAGATTTGAAAATATATTTAAAGTTGAGAAAATCTTATGACATTCCAATCTAACCAACTAAAGATAATTACCTCATCATACTATTACCAAAATAAACATAATACCTACTACAAACAATTTTTAGATATATCAGATTCGGATACTTTTATAATTGAGATGCATAATAAAGAACATATTTTTCTTAAAAAAGTTGCTTATTTATTATTTATAAACAACAAGATTACTTAAATTTAGCTATTTATTTTCTATAAAGTGCTCATATCATATATTCCAGGAAGCCCTAGAAAGAAAACCGGTAATCAAGAAAAAAAAGAAACAAATTTTTTTTTCAAAATAAGCATAATGCAGTCAATATGAAGAAAAAAAAAGATTCATAAAAGCGAAGCAGTTTTACCTATATTTATAAGGCAATAATATAATTATGGCATTAACCAACGCCCAATTTCGTCAACTCAGTTTCGGAAACTAAATTGAAGACCGGAAGCGGAAGAAGAATCGGTGTTGCCAAAAATAAACATGCAATCATCGTAGGCGGCTTACATCTATATGACGCAGACTTGTTCGAATCCCTTTTGTTGTTGCTATAGAGCTCTTTTTTACAGTGCTAAATCAGGTCTATGAAATCTGCACTTATCTGCTGCATTTCTTTAAACCTTCATCAAACCATTTCTCTCTATCTAGTAGTGATTACCACCATACAGGTAGGTAGGTTTTACTAACGTTGCTGTTGTTGTTGTTAATTTACGTCGCACTAGAGCTGCACAATGGGCTATTGGCGACGATCTGGGAAACATCCCGGAGGATGATCCGAAGACATGCCATCACAATTTTGATCCTCTGCGGAAGGGATGGCACCCCCGCTTCGGTAGCGCGCGAAGTCGAGCACTTTACGGTAGCACAGTTTAACGAGGACCAATACCGCACACCCTCGGTCCCTACGCAGACTGATCCAAGTGGGTCACCCACCCGAACACAGACCGCAGCCAGTGATGCTTGACTTCGGTGATCTGATGAGACTAACGTTGCACTAGAGCTGCACAATGGGCTATTGTCGACGGTTTGGAAAACATCCATGAGGATGACATGCCATCGCAATTTTGATCTTCAGCAGAAGGGATGACTCCCCTGCTTTTGCTGCTCACCGATCTGCATGTAAAGTTGCGCACTTTATGGTAGAACAACCTAGCGATTGACGATACCACACACCCTTGGTCCCAACGCAGGATGATCAAAGTGGTCATCCGCCCGCTTACTAATCGCAGCCAGTGATACTTGACTTCGGTGTTCTACTGGAACCCAATTCTTTGAGGTCATTCCACCGCTGTTTGCATCACTAGACTGTTATGTGGAGCCTCTCTGGCTGAGCTGCTAAACGCTTTTCAAAGAGTAGAGGTAGCTGGTTCGAATCCCGTTGTTACCTTGAATGTACCTTGGTGCTGTAATTCTCTGCATTGTGCTATCTTTCCTTCGTTTTGACAAAGGTTTTAAGCCTAAATTGAACATATATAAAAAGCCTTCAAATGCATGTAATTCCAGTAAACAATAAAGACTGTTTGTGGCTGCCACTCTGTCTAGTGATTACCTATCTTTTAATCCATGCGAGCTACAAGAGCATTTATGAAGTAGGGCGCTGCAAAATGGACTACAACTGTTACTCACGAATAATAAACAATCGTTGAGAAATTGTGAGTTCTACCTTTTAAGTTGTTTATTTTTTTTACTAATTAAATCTATAATGACATACATTCGTTCTTTTACATGTAACGATTTGTTTCATTTCAACAATGTGTGAGTAAACTATTTATCCAAATTAAATTTGATGTTGAAAATTAAATTGAACTTGAAAGTTATGTTTGGTTATATGAATGTTTTAATTCTTACTTGCATTCAGTTTACTAAATAACAAACATGAAACGATCTAATGTGCGAAAAAATTCTCCAAACGTATAATTATAATAAATTTAAAAGTATATTTTTGCAGTGGTGGCTATGAGGAGATACGTGGGGAATATTTCCGTTTCCAGTTCTGCTCCAAAATAATCACCAAATCGTGGCGACGTCTGAGCAGTGGCCCAGCAAAAACTTAAATTTCTACTTATTTTTAAATTTTTTTCAATTTGTTGATCTTTGTGATATTTTTCTTAGTTTCTAGCAGGTCACTGCCCGGAAGTTGCCAAGACTTAGTGATTATTCTGTCACAGAATTCAATGCGGAAATCTCCCTGAATATGCCATGTGAGAAAAACACTAGTTCCATGTTCAGAGGCTCTCTTTTCCCTTCCTCTCCTCTTCTTAGATGTATAGGAATGTATTACAATATTTCAGATTTCATGATATTTTAAGCATTTTAGTTGTCGAAAGTATATTTAAAATTTCCAGGATCCTTGCTTTAAGCACTTTGTCTAGAGCAGTTTTGAGTTCCATGTAGTTTGCAAGCTTAAAGAATTTCAAGCCAGAAACTAACACACTTCTTACTCTAATGGCAGCCCACTCACAAATGGTGAAAGTATGTGTTGCCACTGCTTAGTGTTGCCTTTGGTAAAGAGTTCTACTTTGTTCCACCTGTAGTCCTTTTAACCACTCCCCCCACCACCAGTTGTCATCAAGCTTTTGAGAAAATCAGACAGAGACTAGCAAGATACTTGAAGTAAATATCATAGAATATTGTATTGGATATTTATATTCCAAGAACAAATTTAAAATTACCAGACTTATTAAATTCGGTAAGGACAGTTTAAAAAAAAATAATAATGGACTGAATCTTGATTGTTTAAAGGGGATCTCAAATATGCTAATTAATGTGTGCAAGAACATACTTCTGAAAAAAACATATTTTTATCAGTAGGTTCCTGACCCTAAAAATATGTTTGAAGGTAGTTACAATCTGGGAAATATGGTCAGAAGAGCGGTCCAAGGTTTGGATTTCTAGATGTTAATTTTTTTTTTTTTTGTTATGCCTCGCGAAGTTATTGAAACATTTTTGCTCACAATTGTAAAATTTGTTTATCCAAAGATTTCTCTATGCATGAGAAAAATTTAATAATTAATAGTTATTTTTTGTTTTATTGAAGAATAGTTGAAGATAATTATAAATTTTACCTTTTTTTCGCATGGCATTGAAATGATTTTGTAAGAGCCTCCCACTAATTTAATAGACGTGTATATAACTTCTATCTGAGCAATGTTCTCAATGTTTTATTTTGTAATCGCAAAAAAGTTCTGCTCACTATCGCTCAGTAACCCCTAAAAATTCTAACGCAGATCCTTTCAAATGAGCTTCTCATTCTTTTTCTTCTTAGCTTCATTTAAAATTTCAATTTCTATGTCCTGATGTTTTTTTTAACATTTTATTTTAATTAAATTAAAGACTGCGCCCTCTATTACTTATTGCTTCTGAATCTTTGGACCTTTGCAATTTTATTACTCCATGTATGAATTTTCATAAATATGTCAAACTGTGAAAATTTATAGGAGGTCTTAGCAACTTCCTGTCACGGCGCCCATGGTGGCACCAATTTCTTTTTGCTCTAAAGTTTCTAACTTTTGTTGGATATTAATGTTTTTTTTTTATTATTATTTTAATTTATTTTTCACCAAATGAATATTTATATATTTATTATTATATATATTAATATATTTATTACATTTTTGTTCTCTTTGCAGGAATTTAGATCCTTTGACAGAGACAGTATCCTTTAAAAAAAAAAAGAAATAATTTTTTGAACAGTGTTTGCTACATCTACAAGCAACAATTCAGGTCTATTTGAACATTGTAATTCAAAATTCAAGGTGTCTGAAAATCTGCAAAATCTTCAGGAAAAGTGAAAATTACTTTAAGGAAACCTTAAAATTTGTCTTGAAAATAATGTAATATTTCTATTGACTCAGACTTCCTTAAAATAATTATTTGTGCTTCTTCTAACTAATAAGATATGTAAAGAAATAGTATGCTGTCTCATTATATATATATAAATATAGATAAAAAAATGTAATAGTATGGAAGAGTTTCCATTATTTTGTCCAATCCCTGTATATATATATATATNTCCCTTCTTTCTTTTATATATATATACAGGGGTTGGACAAAATAATGGAAACTCTTCTATACTATTAAAAAAAATTTCCAATCAGAATTTTGTCCAACATCTTGAAAAAGACTTTTCTGATTATCCCTAGATAATTAAATGTACATCAGTATGAATCTGTAACATTTGACTAGTAGACTATGAATTATAAACAATATTTTTATATTTTGTTTATTTATTTCAAACAAATTAGCTTTACTTAAAAAAAAGAGTATTGTAATATTTAAATTCAAAATATAGAGAATATGGTAGAAATTATTGTTTGTACTCTTGTCAGGTGTTAAAAGTGAGCTCTCCCCTAACAGCCATTTTGTAATTCTATGTTTTTTAGATATACAGAAGATACAAATTCTGTGTTTTATTTGCCTTGCTTTTAATTGTGTCTTCTGTGATAGTGTTAACGATTGCAGTCGTGCTTATTACTTTTGAGTAACTCATTTTACTTATTTTGAAGATAATGTGAGAGCATCTTGATTCCGCAAAACTGGCAGGAATCAGTCGTTTATTAGGCGAATGTTTAGCCATGTAAACTGAGAAAGATAACACACTTGTAAAACCAGTTAACTCTAATATTTGAACTTATTTAGTTGCCACCTTTTTGTTTGAAAGAAAAAATAGTGTTAATAAAATTTTTAATATCATTCCTGCAATGCTACAATAGACATTACATATTTCCTAGCTTTTAAAATTTCTTAAACTTATTTTTTTTTTAAATCATTCTTCATTTTTAATCATTAATCATTCTTCACCAAATTTTAATTAAATTAAATCAATTGTTTAATTTTTATTGAAATTTATAAAAAGCGAACATAAAATATTTTATTCTTATCTTATCGATAAATGTAATGGATAACTTTTTATTTCAATACTAATGTAGACTCATTAATTCACTGTCGCGACTAATCAAAAGCAAAAGTCTATAACTTTTTAACTCTTTATTTCTTACAGCAAAAATGTTTCAGTTACATACATGGTTATATAAATTCTCAGTCGTTTTGGCTATTTGCTTTTCGCCAACTAATTTTCCAACTTAATATTGACTATGGAGTGTTGTCTTTATTTTTGGCTGTGTTATTTTTCGATAAATCACCAACCAGGTATCTCTTCCCATGATTCTAACTGTCTGTTGGGTACAATTGAATTACTTTTCAATTTAGCTTTTGATTAGGCAGGTCATAGGTGATTTATCTCCCATGGCCTGTCCTTTTTAATATTAAGCAAAATTTATTTAACTTAGAAAGTCTTATGGATAAAATTATAATTTGTATCTAGAGTTTTACAAATACTACTAAATAAAGGTTTTATTATAATTATGATCAAGTTTTCATCTTCGACTGTCATTTTTCATTATCCTGTTTTTCATCACAATCTTAGTCAATTATAACTCTAACCGCACTTAATTTTATCTTTATAATTCCTTAATCAATTGATTGTTTTGCAGTCAGAGATGTGTTATACTCAATGTATTTATTCAGTCAGTATTTTTGAAGTAATTTATAATGTAAACCTTTTGAAAGGCATTATAAAATGCTTAAATTTGAAGTGTTCTCTTAATCAGAGTATTTATTTCCCGTTAGTATTATCAGCTAGATTACCTTAACAGAGTTTCAAGTATGGACTTTCATTCTATTTACAATACTTAGCTCATTGGCCTGAATATTTTCAAGTTGCTGAATCCCCAAATGGAAACATCATGGGTTATAGTGAGTATAAAAATGTTTTTAGTTATTATAGTTTTTAGTTATAGTGAGTATAAAAATGTTTAACAAGAACTAATAGAAGAAACTCTAATAGTCTCAAAATTACAATCTAAATTATATTTAAAATTGTGATTTTAAAATGCTTTAAGTTTAATTTATTTCAGAAAAGTTTTGTTTTTGCTTGGTATTTTTGATGAATTTTTTTATCACCAAGTTTAACGATAGTTGATAATAATCCTGTGTTCGTTTTAAACTTGTTTTCATAGAGTTGTAGAAGCAAAAAAGTATTAAACTAAACTAAAATAAAGTATTTTTCATCTTTCTGCTATACTGTTTTATTAAATGTTTTAAGGATATAATATTTTACAAACATACTTATTTAATGCCATTGATACTTATATTACTGGTTATAAAAGGCACTGTTGGTTTTGTGTTAATAGGCTCTCTGATAAAAGGTACCCAAGATATTCTTATAGGAACTGATATAGCTACTATATTAAAGAGTTCAAAACCTATAATTTTAGATGCCCCTTATATTATTTAGTAAAAAAAACAGTTAATATGTGAAGAATTTATTATTACCATCAAAACAAGAAACAACTACAATAAGACATCACGATATAAATTTATATGACTACAGAATTTGAATGGAAAACTGAATTCTGAATTTTTAGTTTCATTGTTTTTTATTAAATCTATTTTACAGACAACAGTTCTGCATCTAATTATATATTTAGCCTATAAGTTCTTAATTTTGTATCATTGTTTAAAGGAAATCTTGTTGTGGGCGAAATAATTATGAACAATTTAAAATTGTTTTTGCAGGTAGAAAACATGTTTTTTATTCTCTCTAAAACAGGGTTGCCACTCCACAGGGAGAACAGGGAATTTAAAAAAACCACCTAAAATAACCGGAAAAATGAAGGGAATTTGAAGTTTTTCTTTAGAAACTGGGAAAATACAGGGAATTTTGTTTCAGGAAAAAAAATGGGGACCACTCAAAGCACGATCTATTGAATATATAAAGTTGATATTTCAGCTGTACCAAACTATTTCATTTACTATAGCATTATTTAAGTATGTTCAGCTCTTTTTTTATTACTCTAAGTGTTTCCAGCAATTAAAACTAGTATAGTTAGCCCAATATAGTTCATACAAGAGTACAGTAATTCATTCTTCTTAGTACATTGTGTATGATACATAAAGGGAATTTTTTTTCTCCAGATTTCAGTGGCAACCCTGTGAAACTAAGATTTTTTCTCTTTGTCTAAAACCTTGCTTTATGTATTTACTATTTGTAAAGTGTTTTTGTTCTTGTCAGATATTTTATATTTTGATTCATGACACTTTTCATTTATTTTGTCTCTCACTGTTGTTTATTAGTTATGGGGAAGGCTGAAGGTCATGGGGAAAACTGGCATGGGCACGTAACCGCCCTGTCAGTCGCACCTGAATACAGAAGATTGGGACTAGCAGCTTCTCTCATGGCGTCCCTCGAAGATATCTCCGAAAAGTAAGTTTCTCTGATAATTTGAAGAAATGCAATGAATCCTTTACTAAAACAAACCTTAAAACCAAATAATTCTCCCCTAAAGTGAGATGTCTTCTCTAGAAGGACATGTTAACTGAAAAAACTAATTCTCATAGCTGCCAGCAGTACTGGATTTTTCCAGTTTCTACTGGTTTAATAAAAATTCTCCTGGTTTTTGTAAATTTTAGAAAATTCCCTGAAATGGAGTAAGTTTCCTAAAAAATTCCTATTGAAATGGAATTTTTGCATAGATTATTGCTTACTTGAAAATTAAGATAAGTATTATAAATAATAAAGCTAGCCTCATTTATAAAAATTAGTTTAAAACTTTTTTTGTCCTAAAATGTTCTGTTTATTTTTATTCAGAACTGCTTTTTTGAATTAATTTAAAAATCTTTTAACTGTCTTTGATGAATTAAATGCCTATTACTATTCAAAATTATCAGTAAACGTAATACATAACATTTCAAATTCATTTAATGTCCATCATAACTGGAAAATATTGCAGTTTTAATTATGAATTTTATTCATTGGGCATTATGAGTTATGCATAGAGCATTGTGAATAATGAATTTTAAGGATTTTTATAATCCCTAAAATTCCCTATGCATTGAATTTTTTGTACATTATACAATAGTTATCATTAAATTTATATTTCGTAAAATCTACTGGATTTTTTCCTATCCATGTTGGCAGCTATGAATGCTGTAAGCTGCTTTAATGAAATTAATCTGATGATTAAATTAATGCGTAATTGGAAATTTTTATATTATTTATGTAGGCTTAATATAATTATAATGATTGACTTTTAAAGAAGTTGGTACAAATATATTTATAAGTACAACTTACATAACTTGAATACTATGTTTTTCATCACAAAAGAGAAAAAAGGTTTAATAAAAGTTTGTTTTAAATGGCGTCAGCTCTCCAGATCCTAGTGATGCATTTTTATCTAATTTGTCATTTTACCTCTATTTTCATAATTTTTTGAGAGTTAGTATCTTCATTTCTCAATTACCTGTAGAACTATTGTTAGAAACTCTTGAGTTTCTGGTGAATGGTTCTTTATTCAATTCATAATATGAAACATTGCTTTGAAATGCAGTGGTGTTAGAAATTAAGAGAATTTGCAGACTTTGTCGATTATTTCTAGAACTTCTGAACCAATTTTAGTGAAATTTGATATATACATTGATACAATACAAAACAAATAACTATTCAACAATTGTAATACACGTGCATTATTGTGTGTAACACTCCTTGGAGTTGTAAGGTATGAAACAGCGGTTGCAGAATAAACAACAAAAAAATAGGTTAATGGATAGTCCCCTATTAATCCATTTTTTTACAGACCTTGCAGCATGATTTCATACTTGAAATTAGGCAGTTTATCATTTCCTGAAGCAATTGGTCCCACTTGTTAAGCAATTCTGTTTTCATTCTCCGGAAGGTTCTCAGAGAGGGATAGTGAGTTGCAATTGTCCTCACCATAGCATCCCAGACATACTTCATAGGATTGAGGTCTGGAGATTTGGCTGGCCTATCCATCTGGCGAATATCCGCAACTTCATGTATGTCTAAGGTTTTAGTATTTATGTGTTTAGTGCACCAAAGTTATTATCGCGCATTCTTAACTAATATGGTGCATTACTGCATATATTGTTATTTGTTGCTTTGAAAAGTCTGGAATTTTTTTCCTGGAATTTGAATATGAACCCTATTGGACCTTTTTATTTTTATGGATTATATTCATGCTGTAAGTTTTTGTCTTTTCACCCGAGATGTTTAATGTTGCTTCACTTGAAAATGCCCAGTTGTGTTTTTCTTTTCTTTTTTCTTAATTTATTTCAATAGATAACTACTTGAGCTTTGGTGGTTCAGGAGATAGGGCGTTCGCATTCCAATGGGGTGATCCAGGTTTGAATCCTAGTGATGGCTGGTTAATACGAATTCCGCACCCGGCTCGCACCAGCCACAGTGTTGATGTAAAATATCCTCAGTGATAGACGGATAGTGGATTAGAATTACCTTGCCATCAGGCTAACTGTGCGAGGTTTTCATGATTTTCCTCTCCAAGTTAACGCAAATGCTGGTTAGTTCCATCAAAAAGTTCTCCACAAAGGCAAATTTCTCCCAATACTTAATCAAGAGTTTCTCAGTCTTCTGGATTGGGTTTAAAATTACAAGGCTAAGGAGTTGAAAATTAGTAGGCGTAAACCCAAAAATTGAGTCCTCTGTTTTATGATGATTATAAAATAAAATAGATAATTACTATTAAACAGCCAATTATTAGATGCTTTAAGTTTTCTGTCTCTTAGATAAAATTCCTTTATTATTTCAACTGAATTAAGTTTTGCTCTTCTGGAATATACTAACATTTCACATGAACTGATTCACTTCAATTTCTGAACCTTCAGTTTTGAAAATTAACACAATTGGGAAGAGGTTCCATTCTTAAAATTTTGTATATATATATATTTATTGTGATATATAATGAACTTGAGAGACTTTCTGTACTCATTATTAATTTTTTAAAAAGAAAGATCAAAATATAAAATGGAAAGCAAATTCAGCATAGCGACATGAAATTTGATGTAATGTTTAGCTAATATTAAGAAACTTGATGGTTCTAATATATTTCAATCAACCTTGCTTTGTGTTGCAGGAAAAAGGCTTATTTTGTGGATCTCTTCGTTCGAGTGTCTAATAAAGTAGCTGTAGATATGTACAAGCAACTTGGTTACAGTGTTTATAGAAGAGTGTTAGAATATTATTCGGGAGATCCTGATGAAGATGCTTTTGGTAAGAATTTTTACTCACATTTTTTAATTTAAGAAAAAAAAGATATGTAAGTCTCGTACATTTTAGTTATTTGATGCTCAGTTTCTAATCTCAGGGTATAAAACATCTTAAAATATTACAAAATACCTGCTTAATGAAAATTTTGCCTACTGGAGCATTTTTTCCGAGTGCATATTAATAAAAACTTATGAATGTATAGTGCACAAAAAAAACCTTGAATTACTTTTGATCTGAAGATTGGATCTTCATGTTTTAGGACTCAATCTTGATGGTTCTAATTTATTAGCAGGGACACTATTTTAAGTTGAAAAATCAGGCACAAAAGCATATTTTATATGAATAAACGTACCTTTTTTCGACAGATTCAGATTTCTGACCTTCAAAATATAAAGAGTAGTCGCAATCCGAATCCAGGAAGTATTGTCTGTATAATTTGAACAGGATTATTTTATTTAGTAATAGCCAAAAAAATTTTGAACTGTATAGTATACATTTTTTTACATAATTTTAAAAAATTTTATCGTATGTACATGGCAAAACACAAAATTTGTGCAAAATTGGCCTAATAGTTCTTAAAAAATAGAATTTTAAGAAGGTAGTTTATTGAATAACAAGCTCAAAGCAAGATAGTGTACTTGGCAGAAAACTCTGTTGTTAAGCACTAGCTCTTTTTTTCCCAAATGATAAAAAATAGAAAAATAATTTTGAAACAAGGGCCAAAGTAACTTTTTTTTGTTGAAAATATGGAAAAATTATTCCTAACTACTTACCTACCAAGTTTCCTATTTTTTAAGGAAAACTTCCGTATTTAAGACTATCTCCTGTTTATCTGTATATTCTCTAATTTCTCCGTATTAGTTGATGAAAAATTTTTTTTTAAAAATTTAGCGATGAAATATCCACTGATGGCAAAAATACTTCTCTTATTCCTCAACAAATAGTGCTATTGCAGTCTACTGCATTACATTGATTGTTAATAGTTTAAGTAGTTATAAATAATGGTTTAAATAAATCTGCTTTAGATTTATATACATATTTTTTTCTTCGCTAAATTTAAGTGCTTATATTATTTCCAATTTTGAATTTCTCTTTTTGACTTACATGATGATGCATGATGTATCAAAACTTTACCCGTAGCCTAAAAATGTTGCAAGTAAAATATCCGTTATTTTATTTCTCCAATGTTGTCAGATATATAACTATTAAAAAAAAATGGGAAATTACTTGAACACTAAGACTAGGTTTAAAATAAAAAAAATTTACTCAGAATGTATTGAATAATTAATTTGACTTTGTACCAAATACTAATTCCAACTTTTTACGTAACTGTACTATTAACCGACTTTTGAATGCAATATATTTATAATTATAATATTTTTTTGCGTTATTTTTTATTTCTAAGAGAAAATTATGGTGATAAAATATTGAAGAATTTTTCTAAAAGTATTAAAATTTGTGTGTTTTTGTCTTATTTGTGCCTTTTTTTTATTAGATATGCGAAAAGCCTTGTCTAGAGATGTAAATAAGAAATCTATCGTTCCTCAGACACATCCTGTGAGACCTGAAGACATAGAATGAAGTTAATTTTTTTCCCTTGCTGCTCCATTACTCATGTCATAGTTTGTATCAAACTATTCTAATGCAGCTTTTCAAAAGTATATCAATTACTCAAACTGCAATAAAAATGAATTGATAAATGTTTTTTTTTCTTCCTTCAATATACACTCTTAAATTTTGATAAGATTCTTGCAAAACCATGGTATGCAGCATAAGTTCTTAAAGGTGCTTATTTTCGTTTTTAAAAGCCCTTAAAGTTGGGTTTGCATGGTTTAAACTAAATGGGTTTTTTCCTCAAAAAAACCATTTGGTTTTTTCCCTAAGAATAATTTAAAATTGCATTTTTATTTATAATTATATTTTTCAAATTGTTTGATGTTGTAAATAACTTCAACTTTCAACCAAGCAACTCAACTCATTTCAGCAGCATACCTACTTTTGTTTTGTGCATATGTAGAATTGATTAATGTTAATATTTAAGAACAAAAATGTCCAACTCTGGTAGTGGAAGAAAATATTTAATCTGGTTATATTTTGATGAAATGAAAAATGATAAAAGGAAAGGATGCAGGGCTATATGTAAAAAATGTAATGTCATCAGGAGTCTGTCTGACAGACCCCTGATGACAATCATCCTAGCTTTTGAAATTTTGATAATAAAAAAATAATAGTAATAATTGCTATGTAGTCAATACATATTTGAATAGGCAGCATAAGATAACACATATGACTAAAAAATAGCACAACCTTTCTAGGACGTTTTGTCTTCTTCTGTAGAACTCCAGTTTGTTTTATAAAATTTTATTTAAGAAATTTCAGTAAAGAATTTTAAATAAAACATCATGAACTTTTTTCAAAATTATAAATACATTTAAAATATTATATTTGAAAAAATACTTTAAAGCTGCAATGTAGGTAGTCAGAGAGATATGGTTGATTCTTATTCAAATAATAAAACCAAGTGATTGGTGAGCGATTCAAGGGAAAATTTTTTACCTTTCATTTCTCCATTATTTTAATGAAAGAAAAGATGTGGAAAATTATTTGGAAAAAATCTTAAAATATGACATTTTAGTGGGGTGTATTTGGATGTAAAAAAGTTTTACTTTTAAAGAATCATATGAGTAAATATAGGAAAGTAAGAAAACAATTTAAACACAAAGATATAAAAATTTAAATTACTAAAGCATCAACCTGGTTTAAACCGAAAAAACCTAGTTTAAACCAGAAAAAACGTTTTTTTTTTTCGGTTTTTCCCCCAAAAGCCTGGTTTTTTGCCAACTCTGCCTTAAAGGTGCTTTTTTTATTGGGTGTTTTTAAAAAGTGTTTAATTTTCCTCTTCAAAATTGATATTTTTTCTTTACCATGTCGATTTTCGCCCTGTATATTATGCAAAAGCGAGGATTTCACATTGTTTTATTCTAAGTTTTCTCAATTCATTCAAACACAATGCATTTTGGTGTATGGAAGCGGCACTCATTTTACATGTTTGAAGAAATACATGCTGGTCCGCGTGTGTGTCTACTGAAATGGATTTGGGGAGATTATTGCACTCTCACGTGCAATGCTGCTGCATTTTGCACAATATTCTCAATTTCGGGCTTCATTTTCCTCCCTCTGAAATTGAACCGAAAATCTCTCTGGATCTTTTTACGTTGGCTAATATAATCAAGAAAGGAGTTCTTCATCAGTAAATAGTTATTTTATCATGATCATGTAAATTCTTTGAAAATTATTTTGTTATTGTATATAGTGCTTAAAAATATTTTTTAGTGCTTAAAAAGTGTTTCCTTTTTGTTGAAAGATTTGGCTATGCACCCTGAAAACAGGATTGCTACTCCACAGGGAGAACTTGGAAAATACACCGAATTAAAAAGATCATCTAAAATAGCAGAGAAAATGCAAGGAATTTTGAATTTTTTCTTTACGAATTGGGAAAATAAAGGGGATTTTTATTTCTTCTTTTACAAAATGTTGACCTCACAAATCTATCTACATCTATCACAAAGCAATCCATGGGATATTTAGGGATAGTTCAGCTATACTATACTATTTCATTTCTGAATTATTATTTTTTTGTAAGCATGTTGAACTGTTTTTCCAGCAATTTGAACTAGTATTGCATACCTGCCAAGTCTCCTGTTTTTTAACGAAGAAAAATATTTCTCTTATTTCTCAACAGTTAGTGCTATTGCTAGTACTGCTGTATGTTGTGTGTTAACAGTTTAAGTAATTATAAATGACTGTTTAAAAAAAATCTTCTTTAGATTAAGATTTATATACATATTTTTTTACTTCGCTAACTGTAAGTGCTTATATTTTTTAAAATTTTGAATTTCTCTTCTTGACTTACTTGATTATGCATGATGTATCAAAACTTTACTCGTAGCCTAAAAAAATGTTGCTAGTAAAATCTCCATTATTTTATTTCTCCTATGTTGGCAGGTATGGTATAAAACATAGCTGCCAACTCTACTGGATTTTCCAGTAGACTACTGGATTTTGGCAGGTTCTCCTGGTCTACTGGTTTAATTAAAATTCTCCTGGTTTTTGTACATTCTAGAAAATTCCCTAAAATTGTGTAGGTTTCTAAAAAAATCCCTATTGAAATAGAATTTTTGTACAGATTATTGCTTGCTTGAATTATTAAATAAGTATTACAGTACAGAACCCGTTATCCGGAAATCAGAAAACCGGAAAACCAAAAAACCGGAACGAAATTCGATAAATTTTCCCACCATTATAAAAAAAAAAAATTTTTTTTCCTTATAAAATTTTAGGATTTTTCGTTCTTTTTTGAAAGATGTTTACTTTACCATCATTTTGGAAATAATCATTAGTGTATTGCTCCATCGTTTTTTCTTCTTTTTAAGATTATTTCCACACAAAAAATTTTTTTTAGTTGTGTTTAACAATAAAAAAAACGGCTTTTTGTAGCGATTCAGAAAACCGGAAAAATCAGTTATCCGGAATAGCGATGGTCCCGATCGTTCCGGATAATTGGTTCCCTACTGTACTAATAAATAATGAAGTTAACCTCATTTATAGAAATCAGTTCAAATTTTTTTTATTCTAAATTGTTCAGTTTGTATTTATTCAGAGCTCTCTTTTTAAATTAATTAAAGAAATCTTTTAACTATGTTTGATGAATTAAATGCTGAATTATGAGTAAACATAATACATAAAATTTTAAGTATGTTTAATGTCAATCATAACTGGAAAATATGGCAGTTTTTCTATTTTGATGATTATAAAAATCCCTAAAATTCCCTATGTGTAAAATATTTAGTACACTTTGCACCAATTACCATGAAATTTATATTATTTTGTAAAATCTACTTTATTTTTTCCTATCCATGTTGGCAGCTATGGGTATAGTATTAGTTATCCTAATATAGCTCTCCAATTGGCACGGTGGTTGTGTGTTTCCTCTTAATAGTTCCTGTATACAGGGAGAGCACAGGCAGGATTGCCATTTCACAGGGAAAATCTGGGAAATACAGGGAATTTAAAAATCCTCTAAAATAACAGGGAAAATGTGGGGAATTTAGATTTTTTTCTTTAGAAACTGGGAAAATACAGGGATTTTTATTTTTATTTTCGTATTTTAAAAAAGGACCACTCAATGTGTAGTCTACGGGATAGTGAAGGATGATATTTCAACTATACCAAACTATTTCTTTTACTATCGCACTATTTAAGTATGTTCAGTTGTTCCTTTTTTTCTCGAAATTTTTGCAGCAATTAAAACTACTATAGTTAGCCCAATATAGCTCACACAAGATCACAAAAATTATTGTGTGTTCCTCTCAATATATTGTGTGTAATATGTTCACTGAAAACACCGGGAATTTTTTTTTTTCCAGATTTGAGTGTCAACCCTGCAAAAGCATGTGTTCATAATATGAAGAGGTCTATTGATTTTCTGAAGGGAATTTCTTTGTTTTGAAGGGAATCCTCAAATCTAGAGTTTAAAAATATTTTTATTTCATCTACTGATTATTCATTTGGTATAACAGTGAAATTTAAATTAAACTGTTTGTTCTATTAAATGAACAAATAAACTGTTTGATTATTCATTCAGAAAAATAAAAATTAACCTTTTATATGCATATTACATAGCTGCCAACTCAACTGGATTCTTCCAGTTTCTCCTAGTCTACTGGTTTAATAAATATTCTCTTGGTTTTTTGTACTTTTTAAAAAGTTCCCTAAAATTGAGTAAGTTTCCTAAAAAATTCCTATTGAAATAGAATTTTCACACAACTTATTGCTTGCTAGAATATCAAAATAAGTATTATATATAATAAAGATAGCCTCATTTATAAAAATTAGATTAAAATTTTTTTTTTTGTCCTGAAATGTTCAGTTTATTTTTGTTCAGAATTCCCCTTTTAAATTAAATCTAAAATATTTTAACTATCTTGTATGAATTAAATGCCAATTCTATTCACAATTATTAGAAAAATAATACATATTGTTTCAAGTTCATTTAATGTCCATCATAACTGGAAATATTTTGATGACTCTAAAATTCCCTATGTGTAAATAAATCAAGAAATTTATATTATCTATCGGAAAATCTATCAGGTTTTTTCCTATCCAAGTTGGCAACTATGATGTTAAATAATAGTTTTAATTTAGAAACTATATAAATAAATATTTACTTTAGCTGTGCAGTTATAAGACTAAAAATTTACTCTAATTTTAATTTAAAATTTTTTTTCATAAGACAAGCTCTTCTTGCATTATAATTCAGTCCAATTCGCTCTCTGATACTTGTTAAATGAAATTTTGATCACCTGAAATAAAATAGTTGCATTTAAAATATTTTCTTTTTGCTTAATGGCACACAAACAACCCTTTTTCTATAAAAATTGATAAATGATCTGGAAAAAAAGTGACAAAAAATTTAAATGTTTTTTTTTTTTTAACAACCCAATGCATAGCGCGAGAGTATGAACTTGTTAACCATTATACATTCTTACATAACGTCATACATTTTTAAACAGCTACAACTAGCTTTTGCCAAAGAGGGTGATTTTCCTAATCCTCAACAAAGTGTTAACATTAAGTTTCAGTTGCATAATTAAAAAAGTAAAATGGCTAAAAATTCATAATAATTTTGCAATTTATGTTT